CTGAAATAGGCCAGAGCCGGCAGGCAGCCACGCTGAGGCACAAACACACTCTAGCTGTCAGGATTTTTGTGCTGGGTCAAGCATGCAGATACATAGCGCGTGGTTCCTCACGCTGGGAGACTATGGGTTTTTTTCTGTTTATTGTTCTTTCCCGGGGGTGTGCTTGGCAAGGAGGGCATGAGTGCAGCAACCTCACTCACAACTTCACAGCAAAGTAAGTGGGCTTCAATCTTCAGTAAAATCAAAGCTTTGCCTTTGCTTCAGCTATGTATGGAAAGAGGGTGCCTATGGAAAGGAATTAAGAGCTTAAACACAGAGCAAAACCAGAGCATAGTGAAACCTCCAAATCCTGAAATCACATGACTGAGCTTTCCTAACTACACAGCAAGCACATTGCCAGAGAATTCATTCCCCTCAGAACGGCTGGCTCATAAGTAATTTAAAGCAATAGAAAAAGAGCACACCATCAAAAAATACCTAAATTGAAATGAAGCAGCCAATATTAGAAATCTGTGCTGAGGTTTTAAGAGTAGCAAATGATAAGCTGTAAGGAAGAGACGAAGTGGCAATGAAGCTGCTTACCTTGATAACAAAACCCTTTCTGTTGACCTATGTAAGGAAAGAGCCACCAGTAATACAGACAGGAAAATTCATACTGTCTTACTCTGGTAAAGTGGGATTCAGAAGAAAATCTTTAAATCTTTCAAGACCAGAATGATTTATTTTCTCCTGTAAAGCAGGAGAAGCAGCAGCTGCCATAACTCTGCTGCAGTCTGCTTTTCAGAGAGCATGGAGAACTAATTTCTGAAAGTTAGTTGTCACCCCTTAAAGTCTTGACCATTAAAATCATTCTTGCTCTGGTGAGAAGCATTCTGGGCCACAGAGGGGTCAGAAACAGGCAATAGCAATTGCTACAGAATTTGTTATTTCTCTGAGAACCAGTGTTCATATTCTAATGGCAGCTGTACAATTCTGTTTGATTCAATCCAGAAGAAAAATACCTACTTTTCCACCTTCTCTCATCTCCTGTATCCTAGAGAGAGGTTGATCACATATTAGCCAAACACCATGGATGCAGGGAACAAAAAGAGTTTAGAGGGATTAGATGCAATGAAGCAAATCAGTATTTTCCAGTATGCACTTCTTTCTCACAAATGTAAGCATCAGCCGTGCACCTAACAAAAGGATTAGTAATAACACAGGCACCTCAAAACATTATTTGGCATAACGGCATTTAAAATGTTTATGGAGACATGTCCATAAGCGATTTGATGGAAACACAACTCTCTTTCTTTCTGAGAAACCAGTGACTGGGGAGGAGCAGGGGAAACTACTTTACCAAGCTGTCTTGCTAAAAGACTGTATTTTACTATTTAATCCTCAATTATACACATGACTTCATTGTGAAAAGGTCACCAGACAAAGAAGTTCAGTGATCTGGGTCTGAGGGGAGGGATTGTGTGGTAGTTCTCAGCTTCTCTCTCGCTGAATCATTCACCTGAAGAGCATGAACATTTCCTGCCCCAGTGAAGCATGAGCTCCATGCCTGCACAGCCGCACACAGGAATTTTGGTAGGAATAAACAGAAACTGTCACAGCAGAAGATAGATACGGGGGAATAAATTTAAATTCACTTTAGACAATCACCAGATGGTTAGAGTTGGAAGGGACCTTAAAGATCATCCAGTTCCAACCCCCCGGCCATGGGCAGGGACACCTCCCACTAGACCAGGTTGCTCAAAGCCCCATCCAGCCTGGCCTTGAACACTTCCAAGGATGGGGCACCTGCAACTTCTCCGGACAACCTGTTCCAGTACCTCACCACCCTCACAGTAAATAACTTCCTCTTTACATCTAATCTAAATCTACCAGATTAAAGCCATCACACCCCATCCTATTGATGCACTCCCCAATAGATTCCCCCCCAATCTTACCTGTAGGCCCCCTTTAAGTACTGGAAGGTGCTATAAGGTCTCCCCAGAGCCTTCTCCAGGCTGAACAACCCCAACTCTCTCAGCCTGTCCTCGTAGCAGAGGTGCTCCAGCCCTCAGAGTATCTTCATACCCTTCCTCTGGGCCTGTTCCAACAGGTCTGTGTCCTTCTTATGTTGGGGGCTCCAAAGTTGGATGCACCACTGCAGGGAGGGGGTCTTACCAGAGCAGAAGGGTGGAATCCCTTCCCTCACCCTGCTGGCCACGCTGCTAGTGATCCAGCCCAGGATGCGGTTGGCTTTCTGGGCTGCCAGCGTACATTGCCAGCTTCTACCTTCTACCTCTCCAAACACTTGCACGGCACCTGGGTAACGTGCTCAGCGGCCTGTGCTGGAAGGACACTTGGCCAAAACCTTGTGTTCTCCCCACAAACCCAAGGTGAGAGATGGTGGCAGCACCCTGCCTGCCTCCTCTCACACCGGCTGGAACCTGGATGAGAGATACTGAACTGAACCTTTTGGATCCCCTGAGGCAGAGAGACCCCTGAGGGAGAGCTGAACCCCGCGGATCCCCTGAGGCAGAGAGACCCCCGAGCGGGAGCTGAATCTCGCGCATCCCCTGAGCGGGAGCGGCCGCGGGAGGGCGGGGGAGGCACGGGGCGGCCCCACGTGACCCTGCCGGCCCTATCGCCGCCCGCCCGCTGTCCGCCCTCAGAGCCGGCGAGATGCGGGCGGGAGCGGGGCGGCGGGCGGCGGCGCGGCGGTTGCTGGTGCTGGCGCTGCTGGCGGCCTGGCAGCCGCCGCCGCGGGGAGCGCGGGCCCAGCGCCTCGCCCCGGATGCAGGTAGGGAGCGGGGCCGTCCCGCCGGGGCCGGGGGACTCGCAGGCTGCACGGCCCGTCCCGCCGTCGGGTGAGGTCTCGCCCCCTGCCCTCCCCGGGTGCGCGGCGTTTTGAGGGCATCGCTGCGGGTGCCCGTGTCCCCAGATGACAAACAGATCTATTTGAAAGACAGAAATTCACTGCAGCCAGCCGCTGTTTCTAGTGCCAACCCACAGAATCCAGTCAGCCTGGAAAAAGGAAAGGTATTAGGATATCTAACAACTTTGTGCTCCGTTTTCAGAAAACAGGACAGGTTGTGTCCTTTCTTCTTCATCGGAGTTTCCTGACGGATTTTTTACACCGCAGGAGAGAAAGGATGGAGGAATCATTATCTATTTCATAATTATACTTTACATGTTTCTGGCCGTGTCCATTGTGTGCGATGAGTACTTCCTACCTTCTCTAGAGATCATCAGTGAATGTAAGTGAACATCCTCATCTTTTTCCTGTAAAAACTAAGCAGCTCGGTATAGAACATTCTCTTTAAAAGAGCTTCAAAGTTAGAGTGTTCTGGAGACAAAACTAAAGAAAGTTCAGAGTCTCCGTGCATAGTTAGACTTATCCATACATTATTTACTTTGACACAATGTATAATGTTATATTGAAACAGATCGTACTCTGATTACACTCCGCACAGGTATGCATTTAAAATTTGCTTTCCATGTGTCTGGAGGAAAGTCTTAAAACTTCCTCAGTATTAACTAAACTGACGATATAACTTTGGTGTGAGCAGTAGTATGTCCAGGTTATGAGTAAAAGCAAAAACAAATAAAAAGGGGAAGGGTGGGGGGGAGGAGGAGGCACCAAACCAAGAACCAAAACTCTCTGTATTCAAACATGACAATTGAGTACCTTGGAGAAGTTTCTGTACTTCTCTGAAAGTAGTGAACAAGTATCAAGATGAGCTACTGTTTACATACTAAAAGTATGACAGAGGAGGGAAAGGAAGTACAGTTCCAACAGTTCTGTGAAATCTAATCAATCTGTAGTAATTCCCCTGGCTTTAGCAGACCGCTGAATAAAAGAGAGAGTCTTGGCTGAGAGTTCAGCTTTTCATTGCCAAGTATTAAAGATTCCCCTAGGGAAACTCATCCCTGAACACTGGAAAACATTCTCCAGACCAGAACACTTACAGAAAATGTAAGCTTAAACGTTGCTGTAGAACTGTTATTTTTTTATTGATGGTAAGTAAGCGTTTGTCAGACTTTTTCCACAGTTAGCCATAGTCCCTGTTCTTAGTGTGAAGAACTTGATTCACAGAGTGAGTTACATTTCAGGAACAGTCAACTTACCAGAACAAAAATCTCATTTCATTCAAGACAGACACAGGCTCTTACACTGTCCATATGAAGTGAAAATTTGATTTTAAGATCGCAGCACTAGTTAAAATTTAACTAGTATTTCTGGTATGTGAAGACACAGTAGCACGGATTTCCCTGGAAAATAGATAGACTTGACATGGATCATGTAGCAATATCACACTAGAGTCCAAGGAATTTCCCCACAATTATTACCCATATGAAATAGTTAAAGCCCACATATGTATGCCTATTTTACATTTTAAAATCATGCCCGAATCTCTTGTATTATCAGGACTTCTTTTCTGCTATTTAAACTAATTTATTTATTAGTTAGAAATAAATTAGCCCAATAAATGAGGCTATGTTTTCAATATATTATTTTACCAATTTCAAATAAATGCATTGACTGTATGAAAATAAGCAAAGTTCATTCTATTAAACTGTAGTATCTTCTAGAATTATATAGTAAAGCAAGTAATGGGTATGGACTACTGAAGTATTTATTTAAGCAATTCTTTTTGCTATATCCTCAGGCCTTGGCCTCTCTCAGGATGTTGCTGGAGCAACTTTTATGGCTGCTGGAAGCTCTGCTCCAGAGCTTGTCACCGCTTTTCTAGGTAAGAGGCCTATGTTTTGCCTCCTCAGAATCTAGAATTTTCCTTGCATGCCAAACTGAAACATACCAGAGAGTCATTTTCCTTACAGGAGTCTTCGTGACAAAGGGAGATATCGGCATCAGCACCATCCTTGGATCAGCAATCTATAATCTTCTTGGTATTTCTGCAGCTTGTGGGCTGTTATCCAGCGTGGTATGTATCAACTTTGATAGTTCTGCTCCTAAGAGCCAAATGGTTATCCTTTCTGATTTGCCAACAAAAGCCAAGAGAGACTTACTATGACAACTGTCAAGTTTATTATTTAGTAGCAAAACCAGATGTAATCAGTTTTAAGATAACTTGCTATGAAAGTTTTTAAAAACACTAACTTGTTAAATATCATACTTAAGTCATTCCTAAGAATCTTAAATTTTTACATAATATAGAAACAACATATTGATGCAGCATTTACAGCACTTAGTGAAAGTAATAGACAAGTTTAAGAAAAGTAAATGAATCTGTGATCTGCAGGTTTCGAGGCTATCCTGTTGGCCGCTGTTTAGAGACTGTCTGGCATATACAATTAGTGTAGCGGCGGTCCTTGCGATGATATCTGACAACAGAGTTTACTGGTAAGAGCGCAAGTAGTGTTGAATTCATGTTGACTGGAGATTAGTACGACAGTGTTTTGAAAAACAAACAAACAAACAAACAGAAAACCCAAACCCCCAAACTTCAAGTAGCTTGAACTGCCATTCGCTAACAGAAATAAACATCCTGTTTGCTTGAAAAACGTAGAAAGTCACAATCCTTGTAAAGATTATTACCTAAACATTCAAACCCTGCATACTTATAAAGCTTGATCTGCATAGGTTTCTCTGTACAGACTTGACAATTTCTATCATAACTGTTTTGGCATAGCAATTAGTCTTCATAGTGTACTCCTTTTGAGCCTTTTCTTTGATGGTATCACTGTTAAGAAAAACATTTTTCTGCCAAAAGCAGATCATGAGCCTCTGATGTTTTAACTCTCTTCCATCAACACTGAAACTCCTTCAACAAGTCAGTCAGGTCCAGCACTAAGTGTCTGAAGTTTCTAACTCAAAACAGCACACACTGTCGCTCTCTTTAACCATCACATGAAGACTTAATTTCACAAACATCGGTAAGATGTTCAATCAGTAAGATCCCCTGGAAAACATGCAGCTATACAATACAGAAACAAGATTCTGCAGGGAAGGGGAATTAATCAAACTGCTGAAAAGACAGAGACACTCATGAACTTCCATAACACTGCCCATACAACTGCAAATAGTTGCTTTTGTGTGTTTTCCTTTTTCTACTCATGCAAATTTTCTCTCTCTCCATTTTAACACCATGCCATTTTAAAAACTTAAGAGTTGGGAGTGTTTATATTCAATGTTATGTAAAATCTATTTTTCATTCTAGGTATGAAAGTGCATCCTTATTATTGATATATGGGTGTTATATTCTAGTACTAAGTTTTGACATTAAAATCAACCAATACCTCATGAAAAAGTTCAGTCCCTGCTGTACGTGTTTTACAAGAGCTATGGAAGGAAATGCTGAGCAGCAGCCACTGGCTGGATGGCAGGAAGAGAGTGGACCTCTAATACGCAAACAGTCAAGAACAGATAGTGGAATTTTTCAAGACAAGCCGGACTACTCTCAACTTTCAACAAGCTTGCATGGGCTTGATGAAATCTCTGAAGGTATACATATTATTACAGTTGTCACTAGCACTCTGTCTGCCTGTCTGCATCAGTTCTAATAAAGAGTAGGTTCTGAGGTATTATTAAGATTTTGTTCACAAAAGAACTCCAGTAAATCATTATTCTTCCCTGGAATATAACAATAAGCAAAATCAGAGTTAATTGCTAGAGGAGTGCTAGGATAGATGCTCATTTGTATCATATCAGAACAGCAGACTTTCATCAGTCTTTGCTGTGCACATTTGAAACTTCCCAGCAACGCTGCTTGTAAAATGTAGTATCAGCTGAAGCTGTATTAATAGTTGCTGTATTAATATACCGTTTTCTTATGACAATGGCAGGTTCATAACCCAAAACATGCATTATATCAGAAGTAAAGGAATAGCTATGATGTGACCACCGATAACCGGGTTCCTCTTCACTTAAGCAAAAAAACTAGCAGTTGGTACTTACTCTTGTTAAACATTCTGTCTAAAACTTAATAGAAAAAGCTCATTTTTCTTCCACCTTAGTTCTCTCCTAGTGACATGGGAATAAAAAACATTTCATTTCAGAGTTTTGTCCAGTGTGATGTAGGTACTGTGTAAGACTACAGCCAGAACTTTAGGAAGTACTTTTACCTTTTTTCAGTATTCTCAGTAGTAGAGGCAGCAATATGACTGTATGCTATAGATTCAAACTTAATGCTACAATTTAAAAGTTACTTTTTCTTCAACAGATCATCCAAGTGTCTTCACCATGCCTGAAGAAGATATGAAGAGAATTTTGTGGGTGTTATCCCTTCCTATTATTACACTACTCTATTTGACTATACCAGATTGCAGAAGACAGTTTTGGAGGAACTGGTTCATGGTGACATTTTTCATTTCAGCAGCATGGATTTCTGCAATAACTTACGTTCTTGTATGGATGGTAACAATCGCAGGTAGGTACCTTCAGTGCTGCTGCTATACAGAATCAACCAATCGAGAATCACTGAAAAAACAGCTTTTTCCCTGTGAAGTTTCTTTCCACAATTAACAGTCAGTTTAGCAATACACTTTGCTGTAAAAAAGCCCAACAAACAAAACCAACAAAAACTTACGTTTGACTGCTTAGTTTGCCACCTTCCACCTAATGAAAACCACTTTAGAGCTTAGCTGCTTCAGACTCCTTACCATCCCATGAATGAGAATTCATTTATATAGCTACAAAAACCAGCCTATATTTTAAAAGTCTCATTAGAGACTTTCATGAAGTTCATGAAGTGAAAGAATTAGATACACAGCAATAAACTTGTCAAGCTTAAGTCTGACAAACATGGAATCCACTAAGACTGGAATTAAAGGTTCAGGGTTCTGTAAAAGATCCATTATTTTTGTATCTAAATTTTTTTTGAACGCTATAGTAAAAGATTTGTCATTACATTAACTGCCAAAAAAATCCTCCCAAATTTTGGTACTACTTTATTTCAACTATAGTGTTGAAATAATGTGTTTATTAATCATTCTTGGGGGGTGTGCGTGTGTATACCTCTTACAAATCTATATCATAAAGTGAAGCAGTAAAAAAAATGCATTTAAGTGAGAGAAGGGGTATGAACTTGTGTGTAAAAACATTATCTTAAAAATATCTTAAGGTATTAAAAGTTTCTTCATTTCACTGTTTCCCTAGTCAGCTTGAGAAAAATCCAGTTTTTGATTTTAAGAATAAGCAGAAAACAAATCTATAAACAAGAAAGAAATGTTACAAAGCTTGCCATTTCCACGTTAAAGCTCACTAATCCTACTCAAGTATTCTGTATTCTGCTAGTTCAGCATCCTAAACTTGTTTTCAACTTTAAGTTCAATGAATAACTCCTTGTTCAGTGCAGAAAGAGACCTACACGTTTGGTAAACCTTTGAGAAAATACTAGTAGATTGCTGGATATAATACCCACCAGGTTCACTCCTTGGTCAAATAATTTTCCACTTATATCTAAAGAGCAAAAGTTTACCATCTGAATGCTAAAAGCCTTTGAAACAGGATTCAAATAAAAGTTATTGCTGTTCTACTAGACAGAGCACTAATTCATATGAAAACACTGGAGATTCAAACAGTGTATTAGTGTTAGCCCACTTTGCAGAGTCATCACAAGCAATATTGGGTCTTCAGCCCGCTACATCTAGGTCAAATATGTCCTATTTACACAGTAAAATGCTAAAAATTACACACACATTATAACCAAGTCCAGGTTCTTTCGTGAAGGGTGACTCAAAGATTCTATTGTTGCATAAACAGCTATCAGAATGTCACAAAGATATCAGAGCTGGGGACTCAATTATGATAGTCAAGAACGAACAGAACTTAGTACACCACCTTCTTGCCAGCAAAGAAAATTTGACTACTTATAGCGGGATATTGCTACTGATACACAAAATTAACTAAAGGCTAGAAAAATAAAACCATTCTATCCTTATGGTCAGTTGCCAGAAAAAGAACCTTACACATTAAATAGAAAATAAATTTATCTAATAAAAAGAAAAATTAGATTCACCTGAGTTTTAGATTCTACCTCACAACCTTCAGAGGGCTAGAAACTACCATTAGATACATAAGGCTGGTTCATTCATATTTCACCTTGGTTTGCTTGGCATGAACCATTATTTTCTAGCCTGGATGATTTATAAAAACTGATCTTGTTGGTCCCTCATCCTACAAATCTCTTACATTAGGAGTGATGGAATAATAAATACCAGTACAAGTTCTGCAACAGGATTGTGTTCGTCCCTCTGAACCAACAAATAGTTTCAAACATAAATTTACTGTGCTGATCTAGACTGGTATGTAATGGGCAAGCATTGCTGACCTAGCTTACGGAGTGCTGCCTCTTATTTTAAGAAAACTGTTCTTATTAGTGTCCAAATATTGCCAGTAAGAATTCAGATTTAAAAAAAAAAAAAAATACATTTTAGCAAACAAAAAAGTTTAAGAGAAACTAATTAATTCAAAGTTTGAATAGAGGTATCAAATACTTTAGCAAATTGATGCTTGTGAATGCTACAACTGCTAGAACAGTTTTGAAGATCTGAAAGCGAGAAATTAATAATCTTACAGGACACGTGGGCCTAAAAAAAAAAGCAGGGAAACAAACTGCTGTTCTAATAACAATTTAAAACTTTTCTTCATTTAAACTAGTATTTATCTAAAGAAACACACCTCTAAAGGATTGCTTGCACTTACAAGTCATATAGAAATTCTGCATTTTGATTCTTTGGAATCCAACAAAAGAACTTTCTAACTGAGTGAAATGTTGAAGCCACATAGTTGAGACAATACTGTAGTAATGATCTTAATGACCCTCCTCCCCAAGACAATTCATTTGCTTTTATCGTCCTCTAAAGAGTGGATGATTATAAGAGTTATTGCTTCATGAGACTTTCGAGCACTAACTATGAGATGCCCAAAACCATAGATATATTTCCCAGAAATTGGGGGGGGGAGGGAAGGGGGAGAGAGAAGAAAAATTCTTAGATATTTAAATTTCTACTGTATCTGAAAGAAAAAATTCATAATTGGTATTGTTTTGACCACTGCAGACATTCCACTCAGGTCTTTGAGAAACTTGGTCACTCCACTACAAATCCTTTTTTATTTGAAGAATAATGACAGGATGGTATTTTTTTTGTTGTTGTTGTTGTTGTTTTTAACTCATTCATGGTTCAGTCACTTCATATTTAGTCAAGTTAGCTGACAGATTCCTTTTGAAATTACTGTATGATTACTATTACTATATTACTGTATGATCTTTTTTCCATCAAAGTAAGTCCAAAGCAATTTCTTTGGATGAAACTTAAACCAAAGATATACTTGCATTTTCTACCATTATTTATCAACTGCAGGTGAAACCTTGGGAATTCCAGAGTCAGTAATGGGTCTCACATTACTAGCAGCAGGAACAAGCGTACCAGATACAATTGCAAGTGTGCTGGTGGCTCGAAAAGGTAAAGATCTTAGTACTCAGGCTCGTTCCAATGGATGTGTTTAAAAGGTACCATGAAAAAAGAATTCTAGTCAATGTGTCCAGAAATTCAAGGAGTGACTTCAAAATTTTTGCTCGATTGTAGAGCTTAAGTTTACTACTAATAAATAAATAGCTTACCTGAAGAAGACGTGGCTCAGACATTTAAAAACCTCTCAGAGAATCTCAGAGAAGTATTCTAGATCGGTTTGAATTGTCATTGATCAAGTGTTACAGTTTTAGTGTAGGTCTTGGTATTTTAAACATGACTGGACTTTATAATAGCCTGTCTAGCTAATTTTAAGCTGGTGATTATGCTGGTGATTTAGGGAGACTTTTTTTTTTAAAATGCTTGTAGTACCCAAACCCACGTTCTGTAGAATCATAACTACAGTTCTTTCAATGAAAAGTCTGAAAAGGGTGCTCTGTGAGAAATTGAGGGCTGACAGTCTGTTCTTCCAAAACAGTTTGGCAATTTCATACAATACAATTAAGCAGACTTATCTGTATTTCTTCTTTTACAGGAAGTGGAGATATGGCTATGTCTAATATTTTAGGATCCAACGTATTTGATATGCTCTGTTTGGGAATACCCTGGTTTATAAAAACTGCCTTCATAAATACATCAGGACCCATAGAAGTGAACAGCAATGGTTTGACGTACACAGCCATTTCTCTTATCTGTTCTGTTGTTTTTATTTTTCTAGCAGTTCACCTGAATGGCTGGAAAATAGATAAAAAATTGGGAGCAATTTGTCTTGTACTGTACGTAGTATTTACTGTATTATCAATTTTATACGAACTCGGGATCATAGGGAACAATCCTACAAGGGTCTGTGGTAACTAGTTTTAATCAGTGATTAGACTGATGAAAAAAAAATAAAAGCAGGAGAGAAAGATCAGTTTCTTCATTTAGTCAAAATAATAAAAAAAAAAATAATTCAAAACTCCATTGGGCTCTAAATCTTATTTACAGAACTAAGTCATGTTATTTAACTAATATTAAGTAGAACGAAAACATCACAGCCTAATTGGAGCCCTTTCTTTTAAGAGTCAAGAATTACAGTATGACTACGGCGCACATATAAAAACAAAATTCTGAAAAAAAGACATCTAGTTTTTACATTACAATGTTGATACACACTTGGGGGGGGAAATAAAAATCAGAAAACACTAAACAAATCCCACTATGCAATCTGGAGATTAACAGAGAAAATGGCTTATTTTATTAAAAACAGTATAACCATTCATTTAAACTGAATGACTAGAGACACTTGGCCTAATTTTCCAAAGGCGCTGAGCATCCAAAGCTTCCACGGTCTACAGGGACCTGCAGGTGCTCAGTGCCTCTAAAAAAAACAACAAAAAATCAGGCAAATTGTCTTTAAAAACCAAACATAGTAAGATTCAGTTAACAAGTATCACAGTATATTAAACACTATACTGTTAAAGGCTGGTGGGATTTAAAAGTTCCTTTTTACAGCTTTTGTAAGCATACAATGTTACTAAAAATGACTTACTAGGATAGAGAAGCTAAACAGACATAGGAATGTTCCTGAACACACAGTTTTAAATTATGCATTGCGATCCAAGCGTACATCAATTTCTCTGCCACTGATTTTTATGCCGTTCATTATCCTACAGGCCTTTTCAGCAGATTCTGGTGAGTCAAATCTGACTGTTCCACAGCCCTTTGATTTTCCATTCTCCATTTTTATTTCTGCAAACATTACATGACCTGAATAAATAAGTTAAACAGGAGTTATTTCAAGTCTTCAGTGCACTAACAACTTAAAGAACTCATCAGAAGTGATAAAAAAGCATTTTTAAATATAGTCTATGGGGACATATGAAATTAGCACTTCCAGACTGATGGTATATTCACTCATTCAGGGAAAGTGACACAGGTCAGAACAGCTGCAAAGAATCCAAATTAAAATCCAGTGTTTCAAATCTTTCCTTCACATGAGCAAAGATGAAAGTATGCCTGTATTTGACCTCAAGTTTGAATCAAAGTGCCCTATAAGGCTAAGGGAAAGTTCTGTCATTTACCAACCCTGCCAGAAGTGTGACTACTGACAGGCATTAACAGAGTTAAAGTTCAATCCAGTCTACTCCGTTCATCACAGCAACAGATCAAGCAATGACAACAATCAAGCAATTTTGCAAAGCAACTGCAGAGCAAAATTAGAGCCTTTAAAACAGTGAAGTTACCAGGTTACGAGTGGTGGAAAAGTAACATGCACTATTCAATTCCTGCAGTGTTTTCTTGAGGTTGGATGCTCAACTCATGAGGCGACATTTTTATGTAGATGTTGTGGCACCTGAGAGAACGTGCCTGGAGCTAGTAAGTTTTTGGTTACGGTAGGTTGTAGCACACCACTCACGAGCCACAAATGCCACTAGGAACTTTTCCTTAAAATACATAGCTTTTTATTTTTAAATATCATGTAATATAAGACTGGCCTTTCATTGAAAGAAATTGAAAATATGGAGACATGGTCTTTATGTTTCCTTATGATACTGGCATGAATACAATCTGTTGCTTATATTTGTGCTTATAATTCTTAAACCCAATTTAACATAAATGCTACATCTGTTAGATATCCAGGAGATAATAATAACAAAAAAATCTGAAATATCTGGAAGTCACCCAGGCAGTTAAGATTTTTAAAAAAGAGAAAACCTGTTTTGCTATATCCTCCAGCTACAAAAAAAAATAATAATGTGAACACCTGAAAATTTTTCATAGTTGAACTGCAAGTTCTAATTTTTATCAAATCTGCAAACAGCTGTATGAAGAGTATCAGTAGTGTGTTTTAAATTGTTTGTCTTTTCTGTCTCAAAAATAAGAAAAACCATTCTGTAATTCAGCTGAGGCTTTCTGTTCTGAATGTGAGTTTTCAAAACAAAACAATCATATTTCGACACCCAAGCTTCATTTTTCATTCACTTCTGTGAAAAGACAACTTTTCTGAATTAGATAGGAAGTATTACTGGATATTTGTAGCAATCCTTCAGCTTACATAAAAATGGCCTTTATTTCTTAACATAAAGGGGAAGCATTACAGCCTGCAAATATGCTAATCAGGATCACCTATTTGCATAAAAACCAATCTGCCATTTTGGCAAAATTACTAAGTCTGATTTGATGCAGCACAATTTCTGGAAGTAATGCATAACCTGGACAGGCTCAGGCCCCTGCATGCATTTGTCTCAAAACAAATGCTACATTATATACTGTGTTGGCCAGAGGATACACAACACTGGCTTCAAAAAAAGAAAAAGCTCCAACAGTATTGCAGGGATGCAACATGGAAGGCTGGGCCCACTTGGAATTAAACCTGGCAAGGGATGTCAAGGACAACAAGAAGGGCTTCTTCAAGTGCATCAGTAGTAAAAGGAAGACTAAGGAAAACGTGGGCCTGCTGCTAAATGACATAGGTGCCCTGGTGACAGAGGATGCAGAGAAGGCAGAGTTACTGAATGCCTTCTTTGCTTCAGTCTTTACTGCTAAGGCCAGCCCTCAGGAACCCCAGACCCTAGAGGCAAGAGAGAGAGCCTGGAGTAAGAAAGACTCTCCCCTTAATTGAGGAGGATTAGGTTAAAGATCATTTAGGCTCTAATTTAGTGGCCCAGAGTCTAGTTGGAGGTCTGTAACAAGTGGTGTTACCCGGGGTTCAGTACTGGGTCCAGCCCTCTTCAATATATTCATCAATGACTTGGATAAAGGCACAGAGTGTATCCTCAGCAAGTTTGCTGATGACACGAACCCCGGAGGGGTGGCTGACACACCAGAAGGCTGTGCCACCATACAGTGAGACCTGGACAGGTCAGAGAGAATCCTAATGAAATTCAACAAGGGCAACTGTAGGGTACTGCACCTGGGGAGGAATAACTCCATGCACCAGTATAGGCTGGGAGCTGACCTGTTGGAAACCAGCTCTGTGGAAAAAGACCTGGGAGTCCTGGTGGACAACAGGATGACCATGAGCCAGCAATGTGCCCTTGTGGCCAAGAAGGCCAATGGCATCCTGGGGTGCATCCAGAAGAACGTGGCCAGCAGGTCGAGGGAGGTTATCCTGCCCCTTTACTCTGCCCTGGTGAGGCCCCATCTGGAGTACTGTGTCCAGTTCTGGGCCCCTCAGTTCAAGAAGGACAGGGAACTGCTGGAGAGGGTACAGCAGAGGTCTACAAAGATTAGGGGACTAGAACGTCTCTCATGAGGAAAGGCTGAGGGACATGGGTCTTTTTAGACTGGAGAAGACTGAGGGGAGATTTTATCAATGCTTATAAATACTTAAAGAATGGGTGTCAAAAGGAAGGGTGCCCACGTTTATCAGTGGTGCCCAGTGACAAGAGATTAATGGGCACAAACTTGAACATAAGAAGTTCCACCTAAACATGAGGCACTAATTTACTTTGAGGGTGGCAGAGCGCTGGAACAGGCTGCCCAGGGAGGTGGTGGAGTCTCCTTCTCTGAAGACATTCAACAGCCGCCTGGACAAGTTCCTGTGCAACCTGCTCTAGGTAGACCTGCTCTGGCAGGGGGGTTGGACTAGAAGATCTCCAGAGGTCCCTTCCAACCCCTACCATTCTGTGATTCTGTGAGTAATTTTATTAATGGAGTGGGTTAAACTCTATAGCAGATCAGCACTCAGAGCTGTCTGTACACATAGCCCACACTGTACCTTGGTCTCAGGTGTTATGTCATGCCTAAAAATTACTTATACATATAACTTGGGAAAGGTGGTGGAAGTAAAAAAGATTAGGCTAGCCAGACTCTTCTTCAGGATAAGGCAACAACCTTGTCTTCCTGTCCTTATCTAACGAAACCATGTAAAATATGAAGTCAATGGAGCTGAGCAGGGGTAAGATTCATGTACATACCACATTGACTGAATTTCTCCTTTAGCTTCTGCCAGGTCAAGTCAAAAGGAAGCTAGAATAAAAAAGCATTATTAATAATAAAATATTACAAAAAAAAAAAGAGCATGTAATCAAACATGCCCACAAAATAAGCTCATGGGTTTTATGTATTCAAATGCTTACATTTCTCACAAATATCTGGTTGCCTTTAGAGCCTAATCTCTCTCTCATGCCACCTCCCATTGGGCCAGGCACAAATCCTCGATCGATATCGATGTTCCTGTCCAGGCCTCCACCCATAGCTGGCCCCATTCGATCAAAACCAGAACTCATCCGATCCATCCCCATTCCCATTCCTCCAGCCATACTGTTCATACCACCCATTCCACCACCTACACAGAGAAAGAAAAGGAGGATAAAATAAAAATCTCTTTTTAGTAATAAATGCACAAGTATTTTGAAAAAAAATTACAAAAATCTTTTGTGTTAAGAGAAAAATAGCTTTAATAAAACTGCTGTAATACGAAACATAACTTCATATACGCACAAGTGATTTATCTAGTAGCATGGCTAGTATCTTAAGTCAAAGTGTCAGTTCTAAAATAAAAGTAAAAAAACAAACTACATCAAGCTATTAGTCACACTATCTAATGTAGTACAATGTTGAACACAAGAATTAAGATTTAAAGGCTGTCCAGTATAATTAATAAAAATCTGATACCCTATATCAAAAAGAGATCAAGTAAATAACTGTGACAATGTTACGATACAGATAATTAGACCATATATACTATTGTTTATTTTGCTTCCTGCATTCACATTCAGCTTTACTTAATGCAGCCATATTTAATGACACAACCTTCTAAAAAAAGTACATTTTGCACAGAAAATGTGTTCCTGCAAGTACCGTGAAGAGCATGGACTTTCCTATGATACATGCAATGAAATATATTAATGTATATTATATAAAGAACCAAGACCGATGGCATTCAAATATCCTAATATAATCTTTCTGAATTCATAATTAAAAATTAATATCAAGCAAAACTATCAAGATCAGTCATGAGGGATCTTCTCTTTGAGCCTTATAACTCTCAAGATTGCCACAAGCAAGACTTCAGTTTCTCATCTGCCCTAGCCTGAGGAACTCAGACAGTTGCTGCAATACAAATTCAGTATTGGAGCTTTACACAAAATTAAACGGAGTGATAATCTGAAATTCAAGGCTGATTTTTTATTTCAATTATGAGAGCTTACTGAAGTTCAGCTTCATGAAGTTGATGCAAAGAACTCTGCCTACTTGTCTTCTTTCTGGAACACAAGCTTACTTGAATGAATCACTTCTCCCTCCAAACCAGAAGTTAAAAACATTTCAAAACTAAGATTAAAAGACTGCATTAGCAGGTGTTCCTCTGAACTTTTACCTCAACAAAACAGCTTTTAAAACTATTAGACTTGCAGTCACATGCAACAGAATTCTACTTCTTCCAACACTGGCAAGACACTACACTACAACAGAACCCTGTGATACAGTTATACGTACACACCATGTCATTACATTGCCTATGCATTTACATTCTATTAAAACAAGTTAACCTACTCATTCCAGATCTTACTGGGCCCATGCTAGGCGCTCCCATTCCTCCTGCAAAAACACCAATCATTGCACCACCTAAACAGAAAAGAATAATAAAGTGACATACACTGAAACCACCAGTTAGTGACAAGAACAAAGCACACGCTGATGAAGTGCACTGATCTCAATATTATCTGGCAATTCTTTTCTACGGAACACTTTAACCTGTGCCCTTACTACACAAACTAAATAGGAAACATCTAGTAAGTAACATTAGTTCCTCCTCCGCCATTATGGGATTTAAGCTACTCTGATGTCTTTTTAGCTTTACTCCCATCTGACAGTCTGCCAGCAGCACAAACACCTTAAAACTAAATGAGCCATTTCCCACACTGGGAAGAACAGCCCCATAACTGAAGGGTTCATGTTATTGGAACATTGTAATACAGAAGTGCCCTGCTTTCTCCCGTTTTTAAGAAACCGACGCAAAAGCTAGGAGCAGCTCTTCCAGTGTCTGTCTTTATTGCATATGAAGAGTAAACGGATGGAATTTAAAGGGAAAAAGGGAGAAAGGAAGAGGATCAATACTGAATAAAAGCTATTTGGTAGAACCATGGAATCTCCAGAATGATATCAGAGACTGATTCTACAGTGAGGTAAAAATAATTCTTTTAATCAAAGTGCTAATATTCAAGAAAGTAATCCCAAGGGAGCTTCTAGAATCGTAGAAACTCAATTACATTCCTGCCACTGCAGAACAGAGTGGAACTGTCAGCTGCATTTTTCTTGCTTGGTTTTCATACCTAAATGAAACACCTCAGTTTTCACTTATGGCAAAATAGATCAATAACTCCCGTCTTTAGGCTAGACACCATTATTTAAGTATCTAAAAAAGGTCACTGATGAGTCTTCAGTTAGATTTGTTTTATCCGCACAGTTCAAAATAGCAAAAACTGTTCCCTGTCCATCTCTTGTTGGAAATATTTGTCTCCTCTTGGACAACATGCTGTCATAGCCACACAAAGACCTCAAAACATATGGACTAGCCTGTTTTAAAAAACCTACCGATGTTCAACACCAGCAGGATTACTCCCAGCACTTCAGCCAACAGTCTGCATGAGGGAAATCTTAATACTTATTCATTGGGCCAGAGAGAGTCTTGCAATGAAACACCAAGTCAAATTTTGAGATTGCTGTCAACATGACTGGTTTTGCCCTTAAAAAGAATTGTCAAGGAAAAAAAAAACCCACCCACTTTTCCAGAGCTATAAAAACGTGGTTGTTTTTAAGTGCATCCTAGTTACACTCACTATTTTAAAAGGTTAAAAAAAAAAAAAGGCCCCCCAACACCCTAAGATATACTTAAACAACCCAAAACAACAAACATCAAAACCAACCAAACAAAAAACCACCAAAAAACCAAAAAGAAAGCTCAAATAATCCTACTAAGTAGTATTTCATCTGTCTCTGACCTTAAAAGACATCCTTTACCTGTACTTTTTCAGCTACCTGCTTTTCATCAACAAAAATTGTATGGTCAGAGATGATTTATGACACAACCTTTGATTTTTTTGGATACTTCAAAATTTGGCAATTTAAATGGTTACTCCAACGATTCTGCTACAAATCAAACATCCTCATTTTTACTAATTGATGCCAAAGCCCAATCAAAGACTGTCTTAAGTTGCCCTCCTTGAAGCTGGCAGGATACTAAAGCCAAATGCACTCACAGTATTTCCTTTTAAGATACCATTAACCTAAATATTGTAACAGAAGTAGACTAGGCTCTTCCCTATCTAAATACTACATCTATTAATTATTATATTTGTAAATCCCTACTATTTCCTTCCAACTTAAGGATAAGTTGGGAAACTCTTATCTTAGTTCTCAGAACAGTATTTAAATGGTTAAAGTTGCCAAGAGGTGGTAAGTTGAAGCTTGCTGGAGCTACTGAATGACTCCTACATTAGTTTCTCACAGTCACCATGTTCACACATTTCAAAACCAATGTGTGTTAGCAGAAGACTCAGAAGTCTATTGCTTGCATGAACATTTTATGCAAGTGGCTTTGGATTTTTGCTCGGCAAACAGATGTTTATCTGATGTTGCAAATAGACAGAGTGAAGGCATATACTGGATTTCTAAGACATTAATTCCAAGACATTAAGACTAACTCTGCTGACAAGCTTATTACATTCTTATCCCTTCTACACAATTACCAGTGCTCACACAGAAGCACACAAGGGTTACCCTTTCTTATGACTTGCCGAAATTGAGAAAATGAAAGAAAAAAAAAAAATCAGCTTTTAGACCAGATGAACCTTATACTCTTAGCAGCTCTTCTTTCACAGTGGGGAATTTAAGGGAGGGGAAAAGGAAGAAAAATGAGGAGAAAGAGAAAGAAAACCTGTCTCCTATAATGCATTCATCCAGGTAACAGTATAGTAACAAAGTGCAAGAGGGCTCTACTGTTAAGCACTTGCAGGCCTCCTAAAATAGGAAAGTACCTCATTTGAGGGAACTCAAAAGTAACAAAATGAACTCTGCCAACAAGACACCACCTACAAACAAAATAAAGCTGGCTCACAAGAGGTTGGTTACAGAAGAGGCCAATAGATCCCATTCCAAGCTGCCTGAACTCAGAAGGCAACAGGGCACCAAAATTCACTGCTTCTATCCAATGCTACCTGATTCACAGTAAAAAAAAATTTCCAGCACAGGTTTGCAAAAGCAGGATCCTAGAATTTACAAAGGTGGTACATGGGCAGCTCATTCAGGATTACGAGAAGCATATACTTTAATATCCAAAAGACTTAATACCTCACAAAGTTAACAGTATGAAGCTAAATGCTTTCCTCAAATTGCTATTTCTTTTATATTTTACAGACAAAAAAACCAAACAACCCTACACTTTAACCTCCATCCTAAGCAACAGACATAATACACACTCAGATTACATCCTTATAGTAATGACTGAGGGACTGGGGACAGAGGAAGATGACCACACGAAAACAGGTCTCTTCTTGATTTTTCTTCTAGTAAAACTCTTCCAAACTTGCAATTTGTCACAGGAAATTTAACAGTTACCATACCCATCCTTCCAAAAGAATCTCCAAAACCACGGTTCAATGCCATTTCACTACGACCAAAATCTCTGTCCATGTTCCCTCCCATTCCACCACGGAACATTTCTGTAGAGAACAAAGCAAAAAAAAAAACAAAAACAAAAAACCCAGAAATATTCCATTATATACGTCTAAGCTGATGTGCATGCAAGACTTGTTTCACAGCTGCTTATTTAAACAGAAGTGGGTTTAATGCACAAGTCAGAGGCACCTATTCAATATTTAACACCCATGCCAGTTCCTATGCTTCCACTCAGGCCACTATTTCATTTGAACTCATCTACGTTACCCATCCCTAAAGGAAGAGCTTTTACTAAATAAATATTAGCAAACTAACAAGTGTATGGGAACAGTGTTCACCTACCTCCCATGCGGTTGACTCCAAATCCTCCCATGTTGGGCATTCCTTCCATTCCACGAAATCCAGCAAGTCCTGTAAAATAAAGAAGAGTGCTTTCTATACAATATTAAAAAAAATACTCAATGAAAAGAACTTCACTTCACGTACCGCCTCCCATTCTATTCATGCCGCCAAATCCTGGACCGTCTATGCCCATACCTTTAAACCAAAAAGACAAACAGCATTCAGAAGACAGGTAAGATCCTAATGGATTTAAAAATGCAGAGACAGTTAACATCTCAAAAGCACACCACACAGGCCTTGCTTTGTCAAAAGCATGTTATTATTCCAAACACAGAAACTATAATTTTCAACATAAAGCTCTGTAAAACTCAAAAAAGAAGAACGCAGATTTACCTCCTGGACCCATGCTCCCCATTCCACCACCCATGCTCAACTGTGTTGCACTGATGGGCTGTCCACCTGGTCCAAGTCCCATACCAATGCCACCAAGACCACCTTGTAAACAAAGACAAGTATCAACAGAAGATAGACTTTCTACTGTATCATAAAGAGATCGCAGTAAGCAAAAGCACTACTGAGCTGTTCCAAGACTCTACATCAAACATATTCAAGATGCTATATCAACATGTATTAAGTGCAAGGAGCAAAAAACAGAGTCTGAACTCACGAGGTAATTGTGAAGTTTTGCTGTCTGCACCCCGGAAATCTTCATGGGGAACTGATTTGTCATCCTGATAAAAAACAAGGATGTTACAACATCATCCTTTCACTGGTTTGGCAGAGACATGCAAGGAAAAAAGAAATGTAAGCAGCTTACCATTTTTACATGCATGGGTCTATCGAACAGGAATTGTCCATTGAACATAGCTGGAGAAATGCAAGTCAAGGAATCCATCTACAGAAGACAATTCAACTATTTCAGAGGAACCACTATAAAAATTTATTTTATTTCTGCACCATTTTTAGGAGTCTTATCTTTCCTTACCTAATCTTCAGAATGCCAATTCAAAGGCCAGAAGAGACTATAGAAGCTGTTAGGTATATAAAAGTTAGTTTCACATATGTCACATTCCTACATATTTTAGGCTTGTTCAACATTATCAGGAACAGATTTTTAGACTCCAGCAGTAAGCTCTAAAAATGTAATCCTCACAGTATGACACTCCAGTCCCTAGATACTAGCTACAAGGCAAATAAGCACCATTTAGCAAAACTACGCTATCAGAAGCCATTAAAGACTAATACATATTTGATCAATTATTTTTCAAAAACAAGGATACATATTGCTTGAACAGCTTCAATTGCTTGCTCAAAGGTAACTGTTCCCATTCCTCGACTCTTGCCATCTTTATCTTCTTTGATGTCTGCACGCTTTACAGTTCCAGCGATGCTGAATACCTCCTTCAGTTTCTTCCAGCCAACTTTAAAGTCAAGCTTACACAGAGAATTACATTAGTGATTTCAGTACACATTTCTGTTCTGCCATCACATTTGAAAGATTTTCTGCACTGTTGTAACATTTCAGCTTCCCAAAATGCTTGATATGTGTTAAGAGCCAGGATCTTGTAATACACACATACTGCAACCAAGTACAAAAATGTCAACTAAAGGCAACAATTTATACTACATTTATGTATTTCACGTTAATTAACATACTAACACCAAGAAATGGATGGGTTCTTGTCAAGAGCAGCTGTACTCTCACAAGAGCCCTTGCAAACATATTAGACTTTTGTGCAACTAAAGAACTTAAGAAGTAAACACCTCCAACAAATATAACAGTTTATGTTTGCCTGAAGTAATTAGCAAGAATAACTGAAGTGTATATTTAATTAAAAAGAAAGGCTATTATAAATAGACCAAAAAGATGTATATTTTTTTGAAATCAACAGAAGATTGTGCAATAATTAAAAGTGCATGTCAGCCTCAAGAGTTTAACATCTATCTTTCGTGTCTACAATCCAAATACATATCCAGCATTTTTAATTGACTGTACTAATTGTAAACTAACATTTAAAATTTCCTCTTTATATTAAAATTGAATTATGCGGGAATATAAGATGTTTTACATAGATCAAATATTACAGTTGTAAAAAAGAGTTTTAAACTTACATTAGCAACAAAAATAGTGGACCCGAGCCTGCCTGCCTGCAAGTTACTGATAACCTCAGGAGGAATGTTTGGATTATTGAGAATAGAAGGTGGTAAATTCATTATTCCAGGTGCCACATCAGGTCCATGTCCTCCTGGAAACTGCCCTCCTCCACGCTGTAATGCCCTACGAGCATGTTCACCTTCAGGATCCTGAAACATGGGCAAAAAAAAAGCCAACTTAATCACCGACAACAGGACTGGCAATAAACAAAAAGGTACTATTTGAAATTCTACATAAATCCATCAATTTTATCAACTAGTATCCTTGTCCATGTCAGAGGGATCAAGAACTGAATTAGCATGGAGACCTAATTCCCTCACCTCTAGAGGTGGGTCCTTTCAGATGAGGGTTGAGGCATATGGGCAAAGCACTTGTTGAGGAAGCGTGCACTGCCACTTCACATGCTGTACCTAGCCTATGGACAAGTAGAAGAGATTTCAATCTAAAGGACCATCAGTCTAGAACGTTCTTCCACCAACTGAATTAATTTAATTAGTTTTTTATTTATCATTTATTAATACCACTATTAAAGTTGCAACAGGACAAAAAGAACTGCATCAGACACCATCATATGCTACAACACTACAAGAAAAATGTTGACACTATTTCACTTTTCAGTCAGCACAAGTCTTCTACTTCCACCTCCATTTTGGGACATAAGTAGTATGATATTCAGCTTGTTCTGCATCATATTCTGAAGGAGGGAAGCAATGTAAACATAGAATCATGTAGATTGGAAAAGATCTGATGACACTAAAGTAAGAATATGAAGGTAAAGTTGCTTCTAAGAAAAGTAGTATTAAATTATTTTGACTTTAGGACACACTTTTCGTCAGTTCATTTGGCATAGTACCAAGACCCTCTGCAAGCCAACGGGCACTTTAGCCCATTAAGAAGATGTCATAAAAAATTAAATGGGAAATTACACAGCTAAGATGCACAAAACACAGCATTGTCATCTTTATGTAGTTATAGTGTTATAGTGTCTTCGCTATTTCAAATTAAAAACAGCAGCAATAACCATACCTCTTTAATATTCAGGGGTCTTCCACTAAGATCATATTTGTTCATAGTTTCTAATGCTTTCTTAACAAATTCTTCATCTTTGAATTCAACCACTCTTGGGGGGAACAAAACAAATACAGTTTAAAATGTTAAAATTAACAGAATGTTTGGATAGTAGCGTGTTTCCACACACATAGAAAAAGAAACTTACCCACAACCCTACATCCATGATGAATTGTCATATGCAAAGAGAGAGAGAAAAAAAAAAAAAGTCAATCAGCACATATGATAGAGCAGTTAAGATTCCAGTTAAAGATCCCAGCTCACTGTTAAATAACTACTCAAGTTATCTTCAGTTTCAAAATCCGTAATACATGCTCTTTACTGGTAGCCAAGCTGAATTTCTCCTACTTTCTCAACATACATACCTTTCAAATGCAAGAGAATACATTATCTTTTACGCTCTTTGAGCCAAACCAGAATTGGAAAAATGCCACACAGATCCATGTAAGGACAACTGGGGAAAAGAGGTGGGAAGGAAAGGGTGGAAAGAAAAAAAACCCCAAAATATAACCAAAAACTAATCAACACACTCATTGTATCATTAAAAACTGCCCACTGACTACAAAATTCGAATCTACCTCCATCAAGTATACCAGTACAATGAACAAGGAGTCTGCATACCTCTTCAGTATTACTAGCATAATTGAGAAATTACTTTGTAAGAAAATAACCTTATTGACTGCACCAGAATCCTTCTAAAAAAGCAAAGAGTTGAGAATTGCTTTAAGTAAAGCAAAGCTTACAGGATGTTTTAGTTTTAACAAGCATTAAAGAAAGTCATTTACAACAATTGATACAACCTCAGTTAAGACTCAAACCTGCATTTCTCATGTTCTCGCTGCAGGTTCAGAGCTACTATTGGCCAAACTTCTGACTATTTTTAAGAAGACAAAGGAGCTTTAACAATCTTCATTCTTAGTGCCTCATTGCTGGCACTCTGTTGGCTACCAACCACCTCCATCCATTTAGTTTTAAGAAAGCAAATACATTAATCCAGCATTTAGAGTACCAACCCTGCAAAGCTGTCAAATCAGGCACTTCAAACAGTATATTCTTAGCTAACATTTTGTACTCATTGGCCCCAAGAAGAGAATACTACACTAACAAAATTTAAATAAAATCAGTGGTTTATTGAACATCCTTTATATGAAACAGATTTGTACCGAAACAAAGATGTTGGCTAAAAAGAAGAATTAAAGTAAATGCCATCCATTAACATTTACAGAAGTATTTTGTCCTTTACAGCCAGCTAGTTTGAGTTGCATGAAAGTGTGAGACTACTTCTAATACAAAATCCTCAAGGCTACCTTAATGAAAATCAGTGTAAAAATGAAACTTACTTTCCAATAACTGGTACAGGTATTATACAAAAATAAAACTGCTGAGGAACTTTTAAACCTCTAGCAGATTGTTGCCCACGGCACTTACCCTTGATTTTCCTTCAGCATCCTTAAACAGCTCCACGTATGTAACCTCACCAACTACATAAGACATACAAAGGGAAAATACCAAGAGACAATGCATTTAAACACCAGTATCTTTCTTTACTGTGCCCCTGTGCACAACTCTACAGAGAAGCACCTCTTATTCACCAACAATCAAAACCAGACCAACGTACCTCCTGTCAATGGCTATATAATTTAGCTAGTTTTCAGAAATATGCAGCAGCCACATTCTCAAAAGCTAAAAACAAACAACTATATTTAACCTAATTCATACTACAGATCATATTTTGGCCAGTATGATATAGTTGGTGAACAAATTCAGATATACACAGTCCCTTAACCTAACAAATGAAACGTCAAAGTTCACTGGAAAGTGTTACATTTATCATCCTACTCACAACACCTGTTTTAAGGTGACTTTCTACCTGAATGTCTTCAATCATAAGTTTGCCTTCAATAATAACCAAATTTACACATCAAATATTTCACAGCAAGCCACTCACTTTCTAAAGTAGGAAGTTTCAGTAAATAAACCAATCAAATAGTCACGTCACCTTACAACAGATAAACCAGCAGTTACGGAAGGGGAGTTTTGGCATTTTTCACAGCCTAAAAGCCAAGTATGCTTTGCATTACTTTTGAATTATCAATTTTTTCACGGAAAACACAGAACTAACTTTTTACAGAATTCAAATATTAGCATTATTTTACCCCAAACTTAAAATAAAATGTTTGGGGTAGTAAGATTACTCTATCAGAACTGCAACAAAGGTAACAAGCTTTTAATACAAACCTCCAGACAAACAGTCATGGCAGTAGTGACAAGGCAGACAAAGTTAATTCCACAGCCAGATTCCACCAAAGAAATACAAAACAACTTTTGAAAGACGTCCTTTATTATTCTTGTTAACACACTAGATGTGTTGCTTAAATACAATAACCCTTAAAAAAGTAAAATCTACGAAGACTACAACTAGACGAAACACAATCTCTTTAAGAAGTCATGAGGTCATGCATGTACTCTCTACTGTCACACTAGAATGGCAGAAGATCGTAAGCTCTTCATTTACCCATCCTATCCTGCAATGCAATTGTCTCAGATGAAAGAGGGGGAAGGGAGATAGATGTACCAAGTAAAGGCCAAAAAAAAAAGTAGTCAAATCAAATCTGTGTGGCTCAAAGGACATATACATTGCATTTCATTTCCACCCCTTCCTATGTGAAGTGTATTATAAGGAATAAGTTACCTTTTTCTCTCATAAGATCTTTAATAGCTTGCCATTTCATGTCATATGGGATGTTGCTAATAAAAACTCTATTACGATTAATAGTCTTCTTCTCTCCAGTGCCTGCGTTCTTGTCCTTTGAATAGGGGTGGAATCTATTCTTGTTTCCAAGAGAAGGGATTGCCTTCGGTTTTGCAACATACTTCTCTTTCACAGGTGCTTTCTCTTCTTTTGTCGTCTCATCATTATCTCTGCATTAAAAAAAAAACCAAACACCCAAACAAAAAATATTAGTCTTGTGTTGGATCATTAGACTATTATATACCTCCTATGTATATAGCTGTGTATCTGTTATGCTATTAGAACTCCCAGGATGTTAAATGCTGCTTTTCAAATTAGGAAAAATAATTTCACGTTACCAGTTTAATTCCAAAATACGTTGCTTTATCTAGGACAAAAACTAATGTTATAATGGACTTATTCACTACTGTAGCAAAGAAAGCACATCTTGCTACTTCAGTTACATTCGATTTCCATTATGTCTGTCAAGATTCAGCAAGATGGTACTATGAAACTGCTACTAATATCAAAATACAACGACTCAGCTGAAAAATCAGCTACAGCATCCATGTACTTCAATATTTTTCAGAGTCTTGGCTAAGTTACACGATATTCAGCACAGAAGAGAGTGCTGAAAGGGTGCAATTTATGGAACAGCTTGATATACTTCATTCAATGTAATAATAATATAAAGAAAGCAACTCTAATAGGTTGTAAATCAAATTACATTTTATTTGCTACATAAATAATTTTTATCCATAATTTGTGCGGGACTGCTTTTAGAGAGAGATTAAAATTCAGTTAAGAACAAAAAAATGCTCTTTCATTGCTTAATACTACTAGAATTGGAAAATTTGGTAAATGCATATGAAATTGGGGTACCAAGACTAGTTAAGTAACCAGGTATTATCCACTAGAAACAACAATGTAATTGACTTCTGGCCCTCTGTCTTTCAAAAATTTAGCAACAGCAGCTATTCTCTTATTAAAATGTTTTCATTTTTACATGAAAATGCAGGAAAAATTGCTTCTTCTCTTTTAAAGCAGCCCAAATCTCAACTTTGATAAAACTATACACTTTGAACAGAATTAGGTGAAATATCCGAAACTCTTTAGCACTCTTGACAGCGTTATTATCAGGAGGTGATTTAGCAGGCTAACAGAGGATCAAGGTGCCTAAACCATCACTTTAAAAGAGGTGAACTGCTGAACTGAAAGAATCCAGTGATAAAGCCACACAAATGTGACTCACTAAGCAGATGCTACTTAAGAGATACACATCAATGTCTAGCTCAAATCTCACTGCAGTTAATGAGAAACTTTAAAAGTACTTTTACACAAATGTTTATTTTAAAAAGCCAGCATTAGCCACTTTTTAGTTAAAACAATTACACATAAACATCCTACAGGACTGTCAAAAGTGATTGACTGTGAACCACCCTTCTTAAATTACATCACTATCTTTAAAATTTTTCCCACATTTCAGAAGGCTCAGTTTTTATATCATTTTGACACTTTAGAAAGTTTCTGGCGTAAATTTAGCCAAAACAAGCATTTCAGTTTTACAACCACAACATGTGGTAAAATCACTGATTCTGATGAATTGAAATGAGTATTTTCAGCTCTCTGCATAGTTATTAGCAAAACAGTGAGTAAGTGGCAGTCTTGCACTCAAGAGCACATGCAAGTAAGCTTTCATGAAGCTAAACCAAGCTTGGGCACTTTTCAGGGAAGAATACATTCAAATACATCCATATTTCTCCCATGACTTTTTCCCCAAATTTTGAAGTACTCATATGATATGAGCTTCACAGTCCTTGTGTTTACAAGTGGATTAAATTAGGATTAACAACTGACAAATGTGTAGACACTCCTGTGGGCTAAGTATTTGTCAAATATAAAACATTCAAAGTCAACACCACGTTATCTGGTTCCAGCTTCCTCTAGCTTCCTTCTGCATCATCCCTCCTCCACACCATCCTGTCTGTTATTACACAGCCATACAAGAATTATATTGCCATGAGTGAAACGGGGGAAACAAAGCAGGGAACTGGAGGGAGCTGCAGGGCGAGGGGAGGGAAACAGTAGAGAATCCAGTCAGATTTTCCAGTCAGATCAGTTCCTTCCAATCCAGTCCCATTTGTGAATGCAAAACTCCTGCCCAACAAGATCCCCAGTATGAGTTCTTCCTTAAATTTTAGGATTACAGCAATGGATTCTCTTTAGCCTTTTAAGCTCTTTCCTGCTTAAAGGATTATGAAACAGCCCCTGGGTGCTCAGGAAGAGCCAAGTCTCCAAATATGGAAGCCACAGGCTCTACAAGACCTGGCTGTCCAAATGAGTGAAGAGCACAGAGGATATGAGTCTGGCATAAATTCTTAAATCTGGGAAACAAAATGACACTTCACTTAGTCTGGGGATCACAGCCAGACTCCTGAAAATAGAGGATTAATTAAAAAGCAATCCTTCTTGCAAGACTCATCTGCCAAAACCAACTGGCCAGTGAACAATCTGGAGGCTGAGATCCTTCTATGGATAGAACTCTTACTTCTGCTCCTTGAATATTAAAAATAATTTCTATCAAATGATACATTCAAAGCAATGACACGTTAGTCACTCATAGACCAAGAAAAAAAGTCTCAAACTATGAATTGACATTTTCTTGGGGGGAAAAACAATAGTAATTTCTACTCTTTACCTTTTGTATGAACTAATAATTTTATACATTTAATTATGGTTTGCCTGTGAAATCACTAGCATTTGATCATCAATTTCTAGGGTTGAAAAAGAGATGTCAACATTATTTTTTTTAAAAAAGCACATCCTCATTGATTAAAAAGAGCAATTTTTACCTTTTGAAAAATAATGTCTTTGAACTTCCATAAAGTTTTGGAAACAAAAGTTTTCCATATACATATACAAAACTAGAAGCCTAAAAAATAATAAGCACAAGATAAATCAACACAAAAGCCTTAAAAGCTGCTTGGTGTTTTTTCCTAATAAACTTCTACTTCTCTGCTCACAAGGGTCCATACAAACAATAAGACCAGCAGAGACAGAAATTCAAGAAGTCCACTACATGTGATTCCAAAGCATATAAATCAGTTAAGGTTTGTTGCAATAAAAAGTTCCATTCCTCAAAACAATAAACTTAAGGAAGTGTGCAAGTTGAGACCAGGATTCTTCTCCAATTTAATCTGAGTGCTAAGCAAACCTGGTTACTAAAATACTTTTTTTTAGTACATTTCACCTGCACACTGACAGCTTAATCGTTGTACAAGTGTTTTGGGGAAGACTGTTAACTATATGTGAAGAAGTAAGATATGAAACTCTGTTACCAAGATCTTTGCATTATTTTCAGACATGAAGTTGGGATTTCTACCACACAGAATGACTGGGATTTTTCATTTGCTTGTGATTAGTCTTGGAGGGAAAAGAAGAAAATTGCTGACAGAAGGAGTGATACAGAGAAATTAAGTCATTATTTTAACAGCAGCAACTCCAAAAGGCAATAAAATGTTACATGCCTCAAGGGTGCAAAAGGGTCACAATCTTCCTATAAAAATGTAACCATAATTTCGTATTTTGGAAGCTGAGGGCCAGGCTCAGAAAAAATAAAAAAAAGAAAAATCGTTGTTTAGGGTAATGTTAAATAACTTGTAAATGATTTGAATTTCACAGGGAGTCAAGTAAAGGCATGAAGTATGCCTTTATTCCTCCAGCTTTATACTGAACTCAATCCCATGTGCATTTTTAAACACAATGGTATCAGACTGGGCTGCTTAGAACATGTCAAAACTTCACAGATCTCAAGAGCTTTGATGTACTGCAACAGTAGGCCTACTATAAATGTATTTTCCCTCCAAGATGTGAATGAGATTAGAAGGGATATTGAAATTCCAATGATATGAGGCCAAAATCTAGTTCATGTAAAGAATGACGACCCTCGAAGCCAGACATCAAGAACCACAAAGCCCATGAAAGGTTACTCATGGTATTGTTCTAGGGAAATGGTACTTATGGCTCCCTTACGCTATGTTCCTTTTACACCTACTAGATAAGGCACAGTTTACATATTCCATATATGATGCTGTTACTATTTACAAGAAAAGCTTGTGCGTCCACGTGGGGTTTTTTGTTTATTTTTAATAAGTAAATCGCTATAGGTCTACCTTACCGTTCTCAGGTAAACAAAGATCAGTTCAAAGGCCTCACGGCACACACCACTACGATAACAAGCGGAAACGTAAACACACGCAGAGAAGATGCAGAGCACTCCGGGAGCGGGACCCCGTGAGGAGCGGCCCGACCCGAGCCCCTCATGGCAGCCCGGCGGCTCGCAGGGGGGGGCGGTGCCGCTGGCCTTTCACACCGCCGCCACCTGCGCCTGCCCTCGGCGACCGCCGCCCCCCAACAAACTTCACCTTCCCCCGCTCCCAGCCCACGGCCTCCTCCGTGCACCCCGCAGGAGCTCACCGCGCCGGCAAAACGCCTCCCTCGCTACCCGGCCACCCCTCACCGCGCCCGGGGGGGCGGAGGCGGACGGCCGCCTCCCCCCACGCCGAGGCCTAGGCGGGCCCGCCGCACCCCCGCGCTGCCCCTCTCCTCTGCCCTCCCTGCCCGGGCCCCGGCCCTCGCCCCTCACACACATTTTGACGCCATTAGCGCTGCCCCCGCCGCTCTCGGTTGCTGCCGCTCTCGCTGCCGCCTCCTCATCCTGCGGCGGCTGTTGTTGCGGCGGCGGCTGTGGCTGCTGTTGTTGTTGCTGTTGTGGCGGCGGCTGGCTGGCGGCGGCGGCATCCTCGGCTCCGCGCTGCGGAGCGGCGGCCGCAGCCTCCGGCTTATCGTTCTCCGCCATTTCGTGCCGGGCCGCGGCCCCCCTACCGCTGGGTTTGAAAAGGGCCCGGAGCGCCTCGGCCGCGCCGCGCCGGGCCGGCCAAGTCTCGCGAGAACGGGGCTTGCGGCGGGGAGGGGACGCGCCAGGAGGCTTTACGCGTTGCCATGGCGACGCCGGTGGGCTGCCGGGGCCAGGGCCGCCATGGCCGCCCCGCAGCACGGCGCGTCCCCTGGGACCCGCCGTTCGGGTGTGTGAACCAGCAGCCCCCTCCCTGGGTGGTGACAAAGCCTCAGGCGCCCCTGCCACCGCTGGGCAGCTCTGCCTGGAGCGGGGGCCTGCTCCCGAGGGTTTAGTAATTCTCACCCCTCACTGGCCATCTCCCTAATGCAGCGCTACCCGCCAGGGCCAAATTCCCCTGATTTTAAACCAACCACCTCTTGCGGTGGCCAGTGACCCCCGCCCTGACTGGCCGCAGGGTAACCGAGCCCCAAGACAAGTGGTGGGCAGCAGCAATGGCGCCTCACAAAAGCCAGCGGGCCTAGCACTGAAGGAAGGTGTAACGCCATTTTTGCAATCTTATGAATACCTGTCAGCTGGAGGGTGCTAACAGTAAATAGCTATTGCACATTTTCGGCTCTTCGCATTTTTAATACCCCACCCCAGTAAATGGCTGCTTGACCCTTTTTAATTGAGGAGCATCACGACCCTTGTTTGGGAACCATCACCATTCTGAAGCAAGTCACCGCCATCACAGCTTTATCCCTACTTCAGAAAATAGACTGTAACTTACTATTCAAATTTTATGCTAGGAATACTCAATGAATTGAAGTCATGATCTCTTAAAGAATTGCCTTGCATTTTTCCTACACATATAGTTTCCTTGTTCTGTCAAAAATCAGCGTAGTCACAGGTAAAATCCTCCTGCGTGTTAGATGTTGTATCATCTTTTTCCAAACGTTTCAGTACCTCCAGCATTAAGATCTTCCCATTCACAAGGAAATGAAGGAGCCTGAATTCTGTGGACCCAAATCACCCCTTAACCTGTGTTGAGACAGCTCACAGACCAAATACAGGGACCACCCTTATACTTAGCACCCTTAGGAGTGCTGGGAGACTTCTAGTGATAGCTAAAAAGCTATCAGCTTGCACCTAAATTCTCCAGCTGCAGATCTCTGATTTACTTACAAATATATAAAGGGGGTGGGCTAAGCTGTAAATTCAAATATAGTTAGAGCATTGGAAGTTTCTAGATGGACATTTGTTTTATTCTGAAATATAACAATTAAATATGAATAGTTGTAATTCTGCTATAAAGTTTCAAAATTACACAGGCCCATGCCACACTACTACTCTCTATCGCTCATCCTGGAAGACATTAATTTACTTACAAGGTAGAATTTGTGACATTCTCCTCTCAGCTTCCCTTGACTTCTTCAATCCCATTTTTCTCTATCACTTGAGGGAAAAATAGGTTTTAAGCAATATTCTTAAAAGAAAAAAAAAGAATATGTATCATTTGGACAAAGTTTAATCATTTCACTAACCACAAGCACCAACTATTTCTAAAGGCATCACCAAATGCAGTTAATTTAGATCAGTGGCTTCTGGTTGCTGACTCACAGAAATCCATGCACTTCTTTTAAGAAAACCATAAGTGAAGATTAAGAAAAGCTGAGCAGTACAGAGGCTCCACATCTCTATTGGAGTGTTAAGAGACAGTTAAGAATCACTGACGTGGGGTTTGGAAGTAAACTCCTTACGAGCTGCTGCGACTGACTCTCTTATTTCTGCCTGTCCTCATGACTGTCACACCAGATGTTGGTAACACCTGAGATTTTGGAGAAAGCTCAAAGATACTATGAAACACCCTAATAACCTACATGCCAGATGAAGGTAGAAAGGCATGTATAGAGGTCTGATAAGAGGTGCAATTCTGTTCACGCATTAACCACAATTTGATAAATAACTTGGTATTTGCGATAATAATCATCACTGAAATAGTTAATGTTTACTTGAAATTGCTGTCATTACATTTTACAGCTCTCACTTCTAAAGGATGAAAGGAAGCAATTTGCATGTCCAGGTGACTAAACCCTGCCAACAGACCGCGGGTGGTTTGTGCTTTGCACAGAGCATCTCAGGTGTTGGAATCCTGTGCTCCCTAACCCAGAATTATGGCACCAAGCAGCTGATGCTGAATTCCTGTGCCCATGGGCCCGTGGAGGCTAGTAACAAGAAAAATTATTGACTTTCTTACACACAGTTTGCCTACTTGTTCAGAATAATCTACTGGCTATTTCAACTGCTACCTTCTCAAGTTTGTAAGCCTTTTGGGGCCAACACACACATGGTTTTGTACCAGTGAAATTAGTTGTCATTCAATGTGTTTTGTAACAAATACTGACAACTGTATGTACAATCCACACGGTGAGACACATCTCTAATGTAGAGGTGGTTTGTACTAGAGTTGCACAGGGGCACAGCTGAGCTTAAAGCCCAGAGGAGTGCTACGAGCTTTGCCCTGTCCCCCTCACACCACAACTCCTATTTATAACATTCTGTTAACCTCAGTTGCCTCCTTCAGGATTTTTATTGGAGTTTTGGATCCTTTTCTAGAAGTCTCACACATAATCACTCAGTATTTCTGTCTTCGAAGAACAACAATAAAAATGGGAGAATAGTGCCACAAAGAGCTGTTAGGGAGCTGACAGAGGTGAATTGGGATTAAAAAGTGGGATTTCTTTGGTCTACAAAACTGTGTTGAAAAAAGTTTAAATTCTTCCCTAGGAATATTTCTGCGTATAAACTGATAGAAATAAAAATAACAAAACCTACTTGGCACAGTAAGTGAAAAAAGGAAAAAAGTATCTTTCTATGGTTGCATTTGTGCTGAGAAAGTCTCCTTTGTCACACAGCACCAAGCCCTTCTGAGAATATTATAAAATTATCTTTGATACATGCGCTTGTAATTCTCTTCCGCCTCTGTTCCTGTCTTTACAGGAGACAGACGTGGTCTCTGACAAATGTTCCTGTTACAAAGGGACCCTTTATTTAGTATAAAACTGTGAAAAGTGTTCTTGATCTGATGTTCTAACAAATTCCTTGCGTCATCCCCTAATGTAAATAGTATTTCTCGGTTATGGGAAGGTGGTATGGCATTATGGCTGTATATTCTTGGCAAGCAGAGAGTTGACAGCACTAATTTACACAGGGAGTTGAGGATAATAGAATATTATTAGTGTTCTTGCATTTGTATGTAAATATAAGCAACTGTAAAGGAACTGCTCTTGGAAGTCTCTTGTACAAGTAGTAGTTACAGAGTTAAAATAATTACATGTGTTCATCAGCATGCTTTTCAATGCAGTAACTCTCAGGTAGATTAAAGTCCCAAGTCCTCACTGACAAACAAGTCATTGCTCTCAACTTGCTAATGACCAAATACGTATCACCATCCTTTTAGAAAGGATGATTTTAATTGGTCTCCAATTTATCTCAACATTGTTTTCAATTTTGTTTCCCGTTGTCACATTCAAAAGCAGTCCATCCACACTTCCATCAGGTGGCTTTTGTGAAAAAAAAAAACTTTCTTTCCGAAAGTCCATTTGTAAAGAACTCGAGAGAATGGGAATTCTGAGCCGCACACATTTTAAATGTATTGATTATTTTTTTTGTAAATAACTGGTTTCAGTCAGACTTTTTTTTGCATCTATATGATGCCTACATGGTGAATGTGTTGCACATATGTTTTCTTGTTTTGTTTGCTATGGCACCCAAATGGGCTTGACATTTTCTAGGCCCTGTCCCTTCTCCAGAAAGCCCCGAGTACAGCTGGAGAAGGTCTGCTTTAACAACAGATTTGCTTTGTAAATCATTTGACTTTTGCAGCTCAATTAAAGATTCCTTTCTGCACAGCCACAGGTAATTCCAAACCAGTCTGCTTTGCCTAAGGCTGCACCCAACCTACACCGCTTTACTTTGTGCTAAAAACCATTAACCTTACTCTGCAGCTGACACTGGCTTTTGCATACCTATAATGGACCTGAAGTAAAGCAAATACTATCTTCCCTAAACGCTCTCTTTTCAATTAAACATTATCTTCCCAGTCTGAGCAGAGTGTTGTTGTGGTTTTTATCTTTGGAAAACAAACCATTTTACACTTCAAAGGGCAAACTCTCGAACGCCCCGGGCTGTCTGCCGGCAGGTCCCTCCCGGGCTGGCCCTTCCGCAGCCGGGGCTCGGCTACCGCACAGCCCCCGCACCGGCCCTGCGCTCCCCATTGCGGCCCCCACCGCTCCCACGCCTTCCCACACCTTCCCAGTTTGCCTTCTCTCTCTGTCTTGTTCCTTCTCCCCCATCTCGAATAATTCTTCACCAGCACTAGATGGCTCAGACACACTCCCCCCCACCGATAAAAGACTCTGGAGCTGCCTGCTACAGCAATGAAATGGTGTGTTGAGGGTCTTGTTCTGCACGTTGTGGATTTGTAACTGGGAAAATGTGCAGCATCCTATGCCCACAACGTGGGATCAGTCACACAGGAGATGTGCTCTACTTGATCTGCAGGGATCTAAACTCTTCTCCCCCCACTGAAGGCTTAAATCTCCCTAATTCTCATTAAAATCTTTCTCTTTTTTTCATTTTTCTTCCCCTCAGTGTTATACAACCCTTGACCACAGCTTAAGAGCCCCAAAATTAATCACATATTTTTTACCCCTACACAGCTGCATAATACCAGACTTTTGGTAGCACTTTTACTGGTCCTATATTGAGATAAATCACGTTATCCTGTCTTCCCCCAAATCATTCCCCTAGCTGCTGACCTCACAAAAAAACCCCAAAAACCGAGTAACCTGCTTCTATTTTGGTCCTTCCTTCCACAACACATGTGGTTCTTAATGACAGGTTGTGAGCCACTAACATACCCACCACCTCCTCTTTCACACTGAGGCAGTAAACACCAACCTCCTGCAGGTCTAAAGAGAACCCATCCCACCTAAGGCCTTAGAAGCCCTTTGCCCTCTCCCTGTTGGCCAGGGGCTTGCCCCAAACCCAAGGTAGAGGAGCTGGGGATGCAGTCTTCATGGACCAACTCTCCTGTCCCACTCACACCAGGTGGCACTGTTGGTTTTCACTGTGTGCATGCACTCTTCCACCTTCCCCAACACTACACTGATGTGTGTTGGACTTAAAAGCCGAGATTTTTGACCTTCTTCAGTTCTGAATCCCTAAGCTCTTCCAATTTGAAGAGCGGGTCTGTTCAGATATTTAACATGGGGAGATTGCTTTGTAGAACTTGTTTTTCTGCCTCATTCCTGGCAGTCACCAGAGGAGTACCCTATGGACCCCCAGGAGTGTAGACTACATGTTTAAATTGCTGTTGAAGTCAGAACCTAGTAAAAGCATGGATTTTGGACAACCACAAAGATAGATTCAAATCTTTTAAGAATACACAAAAACCCATGGTAGAACAAAGGTGTTTATCCTTTTTAAAATGTTAAATACTCTGAATTAATGATCAATACATCATTTAATGTGCCCCTCTACTACTGCTTTTATCTTCCTATTGCCTTATGATGATGCATGTTCTCATAAACTTGCTTAGACTTGCTTAAATTTGCTTAAGAGGAGAGTTTCAACTTGATCTGTTTTGCCTGTGCACAATATTCTTCACTGACTCTACCTTCATCAGTCCATTCTAAATTTCTAGCAACTGAAGGGAGTTTTTTTGCTTGTGAAGTAATGCTCACAGAGGTGCTTAAAGCTAAACTGAGAAGCAAGTTACAAAGGAGTTAGTTATTCCTCAAAATAGTTACATTTTCTTGATACTTACACCACTTAAGTAATCGTTAAACATCAAAAAGTATTAACCAGCTAATAGCTCTAAGAGTTCCTTATTGCCTCTTGCTTATTGGCACCCACTTGGTTTTAAGTGTCTTACCCAACCTTAAATTAGGCCAGTTGAAATTGCAAGGTCAATGTACCAAATTACTAGATGATTATAAAATCTCTATTTCTGTTAAAAATATTTCTGTCCTCTCCTTTGAGGACACATAAAACTCCCTAAAATAAGGATCGACTCAATGGCAAATATGACTGAAGTCAGGTGGAAATAATAGTTATTGTTCTGCTGAATACAAAGAAGATGGAGCCTGATAAAGAAATGGAAAGTGAAGAGTAGTGAATGCTCCATTTATCCATGTATCCAGAATGGTCACACATACACTGCTACTTCATTTGCCTTAGAAAAAAATCACTGTTCCTGTGCAAGAGCAAAACTAGTGACTTTCAAGTGAAAAAACAATGAAATACAGGAAAAGATTAAGTCATTCCATCACTTTTCCATTTTAAGATACATCATCTTGAACAGAAACAGTGTTACTTGTCTGCTGACACCTGGTAGCTGAAGAAGGAGAGTTATTCCTTGTTGCTGGCTACCAGTTTCTTCTCCGGTTTCATTTCCATGAAAAGCGGATCTCGAACACATAAAAACAAAAGTAAAGTCTTCAAAATTGAACATGTGCCAGATTCCTAGAAATAACCACATGATTTCAGTAACTTCTGTCACAACATGGTACAAGAAGGCCAATTATTTAATGGATAAAAAAAAATAATCTCTTAACTCCCACAAGAATAACAAGAAGGAAAGGATAGTATCATATCTATAGTGAGAAAGATCTCACAAGTAAATCTTTTCCAGGAAAAATGGTAGTGAAAGACCCAGTGTCTGTGCCCAAAATCTGACAGAATTAGCAAGGTGACCCACTCAGGGGTTATGTATTTCTACTGTCAATATTGCCCCTCATTCCCAGCCAGAGCAGACATGGTGGTCCTGGCTACTACTTGCAATAAGGTTCTCCAAGAATAGCAATGGTCAACAATTGTTGGAAAAGCGTGGATTTATGCCACTTGCCCAAAACAGTTGTACTAAACTGGGAGAGGGAAGAGGGGGGAAGGGCAGGGGGAGGATGCACCATGAAATTCCAAGCCCTTGTGTACTTGCTAATCCCAAAATCCCAAGCCATAGCTGTTTCTCTCTAGCAAGAGACCTTCACAGGGCCCCAAGTAAATCAGGGACAGGGCTAAAAAAGAAAACTAGAGCTACTTGGGAATAGAAGAGGCTCCTTATATACATATTCTGAAAGCACAATCTTATACTATTTAAAACAATCTATTTATAAAGTCATCACAGATCTTTAAATATGAGAGGCGCTTTAAAAATAAGCTTGACTTATAATTTCAGCAAGAGACATTGTTCACCACATAGATTGATGCTGCAACATTAGAAGATCAAACTAACAACCGTTAGCATGTGCATGGTTAACTATCAGCTTAACCATTAGTTCTACTAGCAGGAGAAAGCATTTTTCAGAGACTAGCCAGCACTCAGAAGCCCACTGCAGAAGATTCAGGCATTAATATGGCAGGCAATGCAATCCTCTTTTCCCAGCCTATACTAGGAAGAAAAAGTTTTAACCTATCCTAGTGTTATTGCATGTAGCAAGAAACATGTGGAGTTTTATAATTATTTTCTACAGAGCGAATTCTGCTAGTAGCTCTACAGTAGCCTTCAAAAATCTCATGATGCACGGCACTGTGCTACAGCTCTGACCCACACGCATCCTGCAGGGGTGTGTTCACCAGGGGGGCACACAAATATGGAATCACTAACATTTAAAACAGATTTGCTGTTTATTAGTGCAATATACAGTTGGGTAAAGAAATCCTCTTTCCTTATCCACCTGAAACACCTGCTGTTGTGGCAAATGGAAGCCTCTTTAATACAGCCCCAGCTAAACGTAGTTAATGACAGGCTAGAAAGTGAGCTCTAGGCTTCCGCACCGGCTCCCGGCCCTACGTGGCTACACGTTCCGTGCTGTGACCGTTATTACTGTTAAAGCTACCGGGAGGCCAGGCTGCAGGTGCAGCCTAAGAGGTTTTTAGCTCCCCCCTCAAAGCAGCTCAGCACTGGTGCGTTAACCCCTGCTGGCTGACGGCAGGCTGGCTGTTCCAGGGCCACAGAACGGCTCCCCCGCACCCGGCGCGGCTCTACAGGTCCCGCTCCGCAACGGCGGCGGGGCCGCGCCGCTCGCTACCGCGGCTCCCGGCTCCGGCGGGGCGGCAGCCCGCTCCTCCCCCGCTGCAGGGACCCCCGTTACCCGGCCCGGGCGGCGGGGGAGCGGACGGGAGGAGGGAGCGGACGGGAGGAGGGCCGCTCCCGCCCCGCTCGGCGGCCGGCCCTTACCGATGCGCCGCACGTAGTGTTTTGCAGGAAGTTTCCACGCTCCTCAGTTTAATCCGCGCAAAGGGGGGCTGGAGAGGAGCGCGGCTGAATAGCGATGGAAAAGGGGGCGGGCGGGGAGGAGGAGAAGGCGGTAGCAGCAGCGGCCGTGTTTAATTTTTTAATTAGGGCGGTTTGAGCATCTCCCGGCGGGGCCGCAGCGCCGGGCGGCGAGGGGAGCCCGCCCCCGCCGCCCGGGACCCCGTTCCCCGGGGCATTGAGCCGTCGGGGCTCCAGCCTGGGCTTTCGACAGCTGGCGAACCGGGCCCGAGAGCCGCGGAAAGCTCCGCACTCCGCCACCATGGGCAGCGCGGGCGCGGAGGAGAAGGGTTGGTAGCGCGGGGGCGCGGCGGGGCTGGGCTGACCTTGCGGAACCGCCCGGGGCGGGGGGGTCACCCCGGGCAGGGGGGGCGAGGGGCAGAGGGAGGGTTAGAGGCGTGAATCTGCGCTCCCAGCGAAGGAAGGGCAGGGGGGTGATGAAAGCGGAGGCTGTGCGTGCCGCCCTGCAGCAACAATTGCTTTGCAGGCGCTCGGTCTCTCGCAGGCTCCATCCCCGGGGAAACCGGCAACACTTTTCCACGTTTGCAAGTTAAGGATGATGCTAGTGAACGTCTTCTTCTCCTGCCTCTCTGTATTATCCAGATCTAGACCCAATACATGAATTCACAGCACAGGGGCTCTCGCTCAGCAGGGATTCCGGGCTTGTGTATTTACTAGGGATAAAAATCTCATTTCTGCAATTCATTGCTTCTCTGAAGGCTGGAAATGTCACTGCCCGGCTGCTGCTTCTTTGCAGGGGAATGCCATTTCTGTGAAAAAGTGCTGCCTGCACCCCGAGTTACCGTGCTGCAAAAACACTGCCTGGTTTGGGGGGGCTTTGCTATCCTTGCAGAAGTTATCCATGCCTTCATTTGCTGGGAATGCAAGTCCTGGCCTTCCTACCATACACCTCCCTGTATGATGTCTTAGAAAACTCACCCTGAAAAGACAGTCTTCTCCCCAGCAATGGCGTGCAATGTGCACCTGAGCACAACAGGCTGGCCCTGTAGTCACAGAGCCGTTTTTGCAGCATTTCTGGCCATGTGTTGCTAACTCAGATAGCTCAGACCCTTTGGAAATTTCCAAATTCATGCTGATTTCTATTTCCTTAGATCTTCTCTATTGCTAATCCTTTCACCCTACCACCTCCTGTGCCCAATTCCTGTAATAGCATTCCTGGAATACAGGTCAGTTTCCTTGACCAGATAGTGTAGTGCAAATGAGGTGTTTCTGAAACTCCCAGCAGATGCCTGTTTATGTCCCTAACCACACCAACACCTTTTCAAGTCAGGTTTGCTGTCACTCAAACACAAGCACAGGACTGAAGCTATCTGAAGTACCTTCAGAATGACCAGATCCATGAACCAGCAGCTGGGCTGCAGATATCCAAGGGGAAAGCAGATGGCAACTCATTTAGTCCATTTTGCTACACACTATTGTTTATGAAGTGAGTTTTCAGGCACCTGAGGCTTAATCATGCCAAGAGGATGAATGCTTCCAGCTTAAGCAGACGTTAAAGGTACTAATTTCCAGTACTGAGCCATTAAAAAGAAAAACCTATAGGGGGTTCTGTGAAGGAAGGACTGAAACCCAAATTACAAGGAAGATTATTGAGGACACTCAATAATCTCAAAAATTAACATTGGCGACTTTCTAAATCTTCTCTGTATCTCTGAAAACATAAGGGTGAAGGCTTGGTCTGAAAAGAATGACACCCAAACCACCAAAGAGCTGGTGCTGGCCTTCCATCCAAAACAAACATTAGCAGACTTGGGCTGGTGATTCCCCTTCACCCTCCTCCGCAGGTGCAGCCAGCACCCTCAGCTCAAACCTCCGTTCTCCTTACCTCAGTCATCTATGTGCTAAGCTATTTTCCTCATTCCTATTTTCTCTAGGACTCCAGATGTTTCTTCTGGCCTCACAAGAGCCTCCAGTGGCCTCTCATTTTGCAGCAGGATGTTAAAGAGCCTTTCTTTATGCCAGTGTTTTTATACAGCCAATGAATCAAAGAACAAGTCTTGACCTGTAATTCAAAAGAAATCAATCTGAGGCCAACCCCTGCAAAGTGACTCTGTGGATTCTAACTGATATAATGCCTCTCCCCATCATACTGCCCTAAAGGTTATCTTCAAGGATTTTTGGATCCAGGCCATGTTAGTTAGTATTCACAGTTTTCTGACTTGTGACTTGACACATACACTGCAGCAAATGAAAGGATGTCTGACTAACCTGCATGCAGCACTAAAATGTGAAAACAATAAAAAGGCACTCAAGGTCAGTCTTGGTACCACAGTTCTGGGGATACATAATTAGAGCAAAATGTTCTGTCAACTTTAAGGCTTCAATTACAATTTCTGAAATTCAGGGCAAGGAAAAGAAGAACATAAAGCTGCAGATCAGGGTTTCCCAGAACCAACTCCCCCCTCCAAGCAAAAATGCCCACTGTTTTCTTATACTGCTGTTTCAGCCAAACTCTTGCCAAATAAGACTAAGATATCCATTTCTTAGCACTCCATGTTTCAGCATCAGTCAAGCTTTGCACAGAGATCTGTCCCATAGCATCTCCTGACAAGGACATAATGTACAAACAAATTCCATTAATTCCAGTGTGTAATCTGCAAAATTAGTAAGACTGGAAGTCATATTCTTGGACTATGACTCTATGGTGAAGAAATGTCACCTCAAACACATACATGTTTCTCTGGATTCAGCTCAAATGCAGCATTCTTAATATCTTTCAAGATAGCAATTGTGGTTTTTTGGGTCTGGCTTTCCCATGTAGTATCTACATATAAGCCTTTAATTTAATCTTTATAACCCAGTATCCTAGGACTTTTGGAAAGTACTTTTTTTACTTGTCTGGCTCCAATTTGTGACAAATTTGTGATATTGAACTTTCTGTGATTTTTTTTTCCCCTACATAAGGTCAAACTTAATAGAAAAATTGGAAGTATGCCCAATGAAAATCTGTATAGCAGGTGGGCTTTAGCTATGATATATTTTCAGAAAATAAATATTGATTGTTGTTGACATTACTTCTAATTCCCATAGGCTATGTCTGGATCTTTTCTCCAATTCAACAGGAATTGAAACAGCATGATCCGAAGAGCAGAATATCACACAAAACAAAGAAGGATCTCATACATATCTCTATGAAATAAACAAAATATTCGTTGTTATGTGCCAGCAAATGTGTAAAGAGTGTGGTAGGAAACCATATTATTTAATACCTGCTATATTGAGAGCTACTGCAAAAAGAAAGACTTGTGCCTTGCCTTTTTATCCTTGTTTTAAAATTTTCATTCTTTAGGATAATATTCAAAAATCCCACAAATTCTGAAGTGAGAAAGGAGACACCAAACAAGATAAAAGTTCTGTCCATTTTTGTATTCTCAGGAATACCAAATCTTAGTTTTACTTTTTTCTTGTTTTTACTAATTGTAGGCTGACTCAGGACATGGCTACTTTCAGGCATGACTGCAGTACAGAGCAGAGATACTGGAGCTCCCTTTAAACTGGCTGGCAGCGCAGGTATCTGAAGCAGTGTAGCCATGGCAGCACAGACCTCTGAGTGGCCTAATTACTCTGCCAAGAAATAAATGGATACTGGGAATTCCCTGGGGGAAAGACGGTTAAATTGTTAACAAAAAGAGTTTTCCCCCGAGGCGTGTTAGTTAAATAGGTGTTACCTTAAGCTCCGACCTTAGTATAAAAATGCTTTTGTCCTGATGTCCCAGTCCTTCCAATTCTCCCCCTGTCTATAGAGACAAAAGAAAGATGGGATTTCATCATCTGATGGAAAACCTAACATAAAGCAAAATGATTCCCACCCCCAACTAAAATCCATAGGTAAGTTCTGAAAAAGACAAAAATAAAAGTCTCTTCTAGCTGGAAACAGATAGAGCTCTCCTGGTGGCAATGGTGGGGTGGAGATGCTCAAGCATCCTGACTCCATAGAACATACATCAAGGTCAGTCCGCTGAGATCCCTGAGGAGCATGTTCAGATCTGGTGTTTACTATGCCTGTAAAAATGGCAGGACATGTATGTATTACATGAGGAAGACCAAGGAGAAGAAACAAATGACAGCAGTATTTAGGGGAAGGGAATTTACTTCTGTTAGCATTTCTCCCACCAATCTTTCCTTATACACCACAGTGGACATGTATAGAGGAAAGTGAAGGGGCACTTTTACCAATATGCAGACTTTCTTACAAGCTCAAAATGCACATGGCATTTTTCTGAAAAAGCAGCCCAAGAACTCACTAAAACTGCATACACACTGTTTTAGTTTACAAGTTGGATCTATTTATTTAGATGTATAAGCTTAATTACGTAAGTAAAATCCACGTAATTTGGCTGAAATTCCCTTTAGAGGTCAATGCAAGTTTAACTAGTTAAAGGACTGAGCTGTAAAGTCATTTCAGAAAACATACTGGTTTCTCTAGGTGGAGACCTTGGTGAGTGTTGCTTCATCAGAATACATAGGCCTGTGCCCAAACTGACAAAATGGTGTTTGCAACAGCCATGTGCTGAAATTGCTCTGTTTTGAGGAGACAGAAAGGCAGAAAATTGTGAGTTTGCTGTCTCATAATAGACACCAATAAGTGGATGGTGTGTAGAGGTTCAAAGTTGCAGTTTTATCACATTAAATGTGAAAAAACAACAGGACACTACTAAAATCTGAGCTGGTTTTCATTTTCAAATGTTCATATGCTACAACTCAGATATACATACTCCATTTAGACCTAACCAAACTGATTCTACTTTTCTATGCAGGCAAAGAAACAAAAGAGGTGAAAATCCCACAGAGCCACCAGGATGTGATGCCCAATGATGAGCAGTAGTTACTGCAGCAACACTTCAGCCAGCATGAGTGTCAACGAAATGTCTGCCTTCCCTCTGACTTTAGAGCAAAAAACTGGCTTTGCCTTTGTGGGGATTTTGTGTGTTTTCTTGGGACTTCTAATCATCAGATGCTTCAAAATCTTGCTGGACCCCTACAGTAGTATGCCTTCTTCTACATGGGAAGATGAAGTTGAGGGGTTGGATAAAGGAACATTTGAATATGCTCTTGCATGAAAACTCAAAGAATATCCTGCCTTAAAGTTGATGTTGATTTCATTTTGGAAACCAACTGTTGTTACATTTGTTATACATACCTGCATTTTGGAGATATGTTGGTGGCATCCATTTTGTTAAATAAATACTTGTTGCAAAGTCAAAAGGCACTTCATTTTGCTTTCATTTGAGGAACAGTGGATTGATAGATAAGACATTGTTAACAGTGAAGAAATACTACAATAAACAATTCACTAGAAAGTTATCATGGCCAAAAAGTATTTTAAGAATCAATGATATCTGTCTCTCTAGAGGAGGATCTCATTTCTACTGTGTCTCACGATAGGCTGTAGAGAAAGGTGAAGGACAAAGGACAGGCTCATGAATGGTGAATGCTTAACTGGTAACTCCCTCTCCTCATCTGACACAATTTTCTGAAGCTCAGAGACTGTGCTTGTATACTGAGAATACAAAAGTGGAAGACAGCAAATGGTTGTGGCTCAGAGGATGTGCCTGCATGCCTGCAAGAGGTATGTGTCCATGTTGCTGAGATGAGAGGAACAAGGGTTGGTCCACACACCACCAATGGTAGAGAACTAATGGGAAAGCTAAAGATCACAGCAATTGCTAACTCACTTCTCACCTTCCAAGAAGAGCAGGTGCTGCGCTACTGACTGCTTATAAGGAAAATGTATGTTGCTTCTTCTATGTGAAACTTGATGTAGTCCTCTGCAAACAGTGCATAGTTCTATTCCTTCCTGCTCCTATAAACATATTCTATTAATAGGTCTCCCTTGTACTCTACATATATATCATATGAATTCAAACAGAATTAGTGGAAGGGAAACAAATGTCAGCAAGAAAATTTTTGATTCTACAAATATTATAAAATGTACAAAGTATATTACCTGCTCAGAACTCCAGTCTGAGCCACACCACCACCACAGTCCCAGTCCACTAATGTCTCCCATATCATAAAAAAAATTTAGATAAAAGAGAAAAATTAAGTATTAAAACGAATCTTACAGTCTAGTTGAATTGGTCAAGGCATGCCAATTTTTTACTCCACTTGGTTAAACTGAAACTTAAACTGTCTGGTTAACAGCCCCCAGCAGTAATTACACCAGCTTGGCAAGGCCAAAGCAGAGACAGCCATGCTGCATACTCACTTGTAACCAGCTCCCGAAAGGGACAGGGGTCCAGAGCTGGCTGGAGATCTCTGTACTCTCCAGCCTCTCTCCACAGCTGGTTCTTCTGTTTATGCTCCTACAACTGTGCTCAGTGTATGATCTGGACTGTCAAACTGAAGAATTGGTCATAGGAGACCCTACCAAGGCAGAAGAACTAACAGTGAAAGCAGAGACTCAAATCTGGGTATTCAAGGTCACCCTCATATACACAGCTGTTTAGCAAGTGTGACAGTACTTGACAGAAATTCAATTCCGTTTTTAAGAAGGTTGGCATCAGAATTTTAAGCACTGTCACTTTTGCTAAAAAGCTCTGTTTGCAACGAGGAGCAAAGACAAGGAGATCAGTTACAGCATTTGGTTTCTTTTGCATGTATTCTGAAAAATACATATTGTCCCTTTTGCTCTATATACTAGGCAGAGGCAGACAGTGGAACAGCAGACTTCAGGTGCCATTTGGAACATGAAATACTTGGTTGTACAGGGAAGGACATGACTCTCCTGTCTGAAGAATATAAAAGGAACAGCCACCACTAATCTACACTGGTCCATTCAAATTATAAAAAGTAAACAAATTTGTGAATGTAAGAGCTTTTAAACTGCTTCAGATTCTGCATAAGAGAAAATGCCATAACCCCAGAGATTCAGTATATTGCACTTATCCTAGTTAATTTAACCACAAAATCAAAGATAGATACCAGTATACTGATTTATGTGATCTGTTATTGCTGGATAATCTGCTGCAGAGACCTGACATTGCCGTTCTTTTTACGTACACCTAATCAGCACAGCTGAGCTCTGTGCTGTCAGGTTAGAGTGCTGAAGTTATCTGGGTTAAATATAGTTCAAGTTATCTCTAAACTACACAGCAAACACACCCAAAGAACCCCAATACTGTCTTACTACGTTTGTTCTTGACCCTATCTATTGCTTGAAGCAACTATCAAATTCCCTTATGATTACAAAGCTTCATCATTTCCTACCCACCCTTCTATGCAGCCTCAAAAGACAAGGGAGTCGACCTTCCCAGAAAGAATACACATAACATAATTTTTCAAAGGTTTTCCTTAAATATGCAGAGTAAAACTGTGAACAGGGCTAGGAGCAAATGGTTCAAAACCACATGTAAGACAAGGGGACCCACCAGTGACTGATCCTGCTGGCTTCACTGGAATCTCTTCTGCAAAAAATGCGCTGAGCAGAAGCCTGAACTCTTGTTATCTCTGTTACTATATATGCAGAACTGAAAAATAGAGAGATCGTGATCTGTGCACTGAATCAGGCATAGCTGGGAGGGAAATGGAGATAACAAAAGTATTTTCAGGCCCCCTTAGAAATTTTGCAATACCATAAACCCAGTAATTGTAATGGATAGGTACATTTGCTGGTTAATAGTTAACAAGCTAGAATGCTTCTCTAAATCACCATCTAGAAATGTTTTGAAAGAGAGGGATTGGATAGTCTATTCAGTATATTAAGCAGGGAGAAAAATCTGGCCAATAAGGCAGAGTCTGTAATGCCTCAAAGAGAGGGACATGCTATATACATGAATAAAAGAGACAGATTGTCCTTCCCTAAAAACACAGGACTGAATGGTAAGTTAAATTATCCTGAATAAGGTAAACTTGATTATTTGTGCCTAATGCTAGAATACTAAACACAAAATTAATGGCAAATAACAGTTCAGAGACCTCTGGGAATACACTGTGAAAATCAAAGTATTGTTGTCAAGAACAGCAGAAAGGTAAGAGACTTTTCTTTTCCTAGAAAAATAGTAACATTATCGAAATAAGACAGTGAAATTACAGAATCATTTTACTTGGTAGCAGAAGTCTCTTGTCATCAAAGAATCAGGATTTCATTCAGTCATGGAGATGGAAACAAACCTACTTTCACTGACTTTAATGACAGATTTGCTTTTGCTCCTTCATGCCTGAAGATGAAACACTTCCTTACAACTTTCAAAGACTGAAGGAAGCAGAATACTATCTATGATCAGAAATGTGTAGTATTAGTAATAATAACAATAGTAATATTGATCATCCAAACCCTGTAGAAGTAAAATAAACTAAATGAATGTAACATGTTTCTGTGAGGCTTACAAAACATTATGCAGGAAAGCCAACATAAATATGAGGAGGTTATAAAGTGGTATCATAGCAGAGAGGTGACAGGAGAATATTATCTATAGCTGATGGAAGAAGTGAGAAAATATGCTTTAGCTATATCTCATACTGAAGATGAAGGACATTTGATTATCAGCTCTTCAAATTACAATTTTGATATGTGATTTTAGAAAAAAATTATATTTCCAAGGTATAAATATTGATGCAGCATTTTATCTTTCAGTGCCAAAGGGCCAAAATCATTGAGAAATTCAAACTGGAAAAAACCTCTGGAGATTATCTAGTCCAACCTCTTGTGAAAGCACAAAAATTTTAAAAAGCATCTAACGGGCTTATTTTCCCAGATTTTCAGTTCATGTATTCCTTTATATAGATATATTTTGTTTCAAAAACTTTCTGCTTTTATACACACTTGCAGAGTTTCAATGTGTAAGCGTGGTCTGGTTTAGTTAGTTTGAACAGACCAGGACTCCTACTGAGTTATACAGGTCTATACAATCACACTCCCTTATCTTCTTAGAAGCATGTTTCAAGACATATGGACCGCCATTGTTTCAATAGCTCATTCCAGGGCCTTCTAGGCCATCCTGTAAGTTGCTGCAAAGGCACTTAGGCCACTAAAGGCTTTAAATATAAGTACCCCTTTCAGCATCATGCTGTGGGAGCAATGAAGGTGAACAGTGTCCTAGGCTGTATAAACAGGATCATAGCCAGTAAATGAATCAAAGGGGTCATTCCTCTCTATACAGCACTCATCAGACTACACCCAGAGCCCAGTTTCTAAGTTTGTCTACCTGTCCCTCCCCTGTGCCCATGTAGGAAAGATACTGATAAACTTGTATGTGTGTAATGGAGTGCCACCAAGATGGTCAGGGGTAGGAACATTTGCCCTATAAGAAAATATGGCTTGCTTAACCAGAAGAAGAAAATGCATTAGGGGAACCTAAGCAGCCCCCCATGTACTTACGAAGAGGTTACTGACAAGGCAGAGCCCTGCTATTTACTGAGATGCACAGCAGGAGAGTGAGAGATGATAGTCATAGAGTGACACATGGAAGGTTCCAACTGGATATAAAGGAAAAAAAAAACACTGTCAAGACAATTAAGTATTAGAATAGGCTGACAAGGCGGGTTGTGAAATCTGTCCTTGGAGGATGTCAAGACCTGACTGGTGAAAGCCCTAAGCAACCTAATTTACATTCAGTGTTCCCTCAGCTTTGAGTGGGAGGTTGGACTAGTTAAGCTATGAAGGCCCCTTCAAACCAGCATGATTCTATGACTTGCTAGAATTTCTTTCAAATCATCTGAAGGGGTATTTTGAGTGTACAAATGTAAAATTGAGTATAAAATTCTATGAAGCTTCCAATGCCTAGGACTATTTTTAATATTTCTTAATAATTACTACTTTACCATAGTCATTTATTTCCTCCATTAAAATTTAGGAAAGCCAATACTATTTTTGGATCCGTTTCAGTTGTCTATCTATTCCTTCACATTACATTGATTTTCTCTACATAAAAAATGGACAATTTGTTATAACTTAATTGCTTGTTTATAAATTGTTGCCATTGTGGAACTACATAAAATTTAAGGCCTAGCTTTTGTGGTTAATTTTTAAAAATGTATTTGATTCAAGCTTTTAATGCAAATTTAATTCTGGACTATGAAAGAAATACACATAGTATCATAATATTTAAGTGGAACATAAACAGCCAATGGACTTCATGAGATCTTGTGTTGCATCCCTTATACTGCCTACACTTTCACTGGCTTCAATTAAACATTGCATTATTAAAAGAAACACTATATTTGAAAATCAATTTTAGGTACTTACAGCCCATTTTATATAGAATATAT